TGTGAGCATTGTTTTACCTAGGTTCTAGTGTTCTCAAAAGCATAATAAATTAATAGATATTTGAAGTCACAAAGATATTTTGGTTTTCCCATAACACTTTTCTACCACATTTGATAAAGGGTATCTGGTTCAAAATCATTTTTATAAAAAGCATATATACATTTGCACAATCTTTTGTTATCTGCTAAGATTCCTGGCCTCCCACCATACTATAGCTTAGTATCAGCAGTCATAAAAGGGTAAGAGCCAAGTTGGAAACAACATTTTAGAACTCTATGTAGCTTCTTGCTCAAATTTCATCTTTCTCTGACTATTTGCCACAAAAAGCAAAGTAAAAGATATAATTGAAGATGATTATCTTCGTGACAGTACTTAGTATCAGGTGCCTTTGCATGTTGTTCTTTCCATTCCCATCACACAACTTAATCAGCTACCCCTGAGGCTCCATTTCCCACTTGCAATTGTCTAAACTACAAAAAAAATTAATGTTCCTCCTAAGGTAACAAATTTTTCTTTTAGTCAATGTATATTTATGGTAAAAGATATTGACACAACATATGGTAACAAAACGACAATTAATTAGGAGGTAGGCTTAGCTTAATCTGTCTTAATAATGGCAAACCTTTTTGGTTAGCTTATGATGTAACAAAAGTGAGTAGGAACAGGTCTTTCTTTGCTCTTTTTTGACCGAATCATTTGAACTGACACCCTTCTTGGATGCTTAATGCCTTATCTAGATTTCATCAAGTTCTTTGTCTTGGATGGAGGAATTTTGGAAGAAAAAAAATATGGAGGATTTATTTATTTATTTTTAATGAGAATTGTATAATGTTAAACAAAATAGAATAAGAGACCATTCATCATTAAAGGTTAGATAGTAATATATTCATTTAAATATTTTTAAATTCTATCTTTTGGCAAGGTTTTAATTTTACTTATTAAAAAAATAATTTTGATCTCTAATGTTTTTAAATTTATTATTCCTAGTCCTTTTCATTGATGTAGCACAATAACATGTAACACAAAAAATTGACACAATAATTTTTTAGTTAGTCATGTTATCATAAGTATCAAAAGCATTAAAATTATAAAAAATAAGAATTAAAATTAAAATCTTGGAAACATATAAGAATAAAAACGTATTTGAGTTTAATATATTACTTGTTTGCTCTAATTATTTTTAAAAAATAATAATATTTTTAACATAAAAAAATCATATTTCCCTCCGTCCAATCATTCTCTGAATGGATGAATGAAGAAATTCAGGGCCGGTTTTTATGACTAATTGAATGCCTTCAAACGACAAATCTTGTACTTGCTTTGAAACCAAGCAACTTCGTGTCCCGAGAAAAAGATATTTTTGGGATCAATTAATAGTATAAAAACTATTATATTGGGAAAGTTTAGGGCTGGTTTGTTTTTTTTTTTTTAAATAATTTTTTGTTTTTAAAAACAAAAAAAAAACTTGTTTGATAAGTGTAATTTTTTAAATTTATTTTCAAAATTTAAAGTTGTTTTTTTATCAAAACACTTTTTTATTAATCTATCTTTTTTCTCTATTTACTCCCTTCACTTCCTTTAAAAAACAGTTTATAAAAATTGTTTTACAATATAATTTTTAAAAACTAAAAGTACAGTACTCAAACACTCCCTTAGACTCCAAATTTTAGTTTTGCTGTTCTTAAAATTGTGTTCGCAGTCACATCAAGCTTATCATAAGAGAAATATTACTGTAATTACAATTATAATATATTTATAGATTTTGATAATCTTAACTTTTAGAGCTAAACAAATTAATAATAATAAAATTTTATTAGAAAAAATATTATTATATTTTTATAATTTTAATATAATAACTATGTATTTTTTTAAACAAATTTTTATTTATAAATACTTAAACTCAGTTCTCAGGGCTAAGATTAATAAAATACTATGTTTATAAACACCTTCAAATTCATGATACCATGATAATAGTCACAATTGTAAATTACAAATTGCAATTTAAAATCTTGACTCACTAAGAAGTTGTGTGTACAAATTTAACTTCTGAAAATTTTGAATCAATAGTAGTTATAAATAAAAAACGGAGATTAACTTAAAACTCTTAGAACTTTGGAACATCTCACGATCTCCTGCCTTGAATTAAAAAGAAAAAAAAAGGGGAAAACCTTGACTTGCTTTTGCCTTTTGATCGTTGAGAATCTAACATGATTAACAACATAACATATATTATATGCAGGCTACCTTTATGGTTAAGATTTAAGAACCAAATTAAACCAAAACAAAGTTTAAGGAATGCACCAAAATTCAAGAAACACATGAAATGAGGAGAGACACATGTCTGTCTTTCACATCTACTTTAATCTCCCCAAGTGGTTGAGGAGCCAACAGGCTCATGTTGGGGCAATGGTGGATGTTGCACGGAAGTGAATCTAGAGCTGATTTTGGGGCATAAGATCACTACGGTATCTTTTCCTGTTTTCCATCATTTATCAATACAATATTATTCTGTTCCATAGTACACTTATTATGTATCCCTTTGCAACCAGAGAGATCCATTGCTCAAAGATTTGTCATGCTTTTTTTCTACAGGATCAGTTTTCAATTTACAATTCAGGTCAGGCATGCACCCTTTGTCTAAACGCTATCATCTACTTTTTTTGTTCTAACCCTTTTGAAGATACTCAAATGAGAAGAAAAAGCTTTCACAAGAATCACAATTTATCAGCCTGTGGTAGGGACTAGGGGCTCTCTTATCACTTTCTTGTTGTGCAAGCTCTAATATATATCAATCCCCAATCACCCAAATGTGGTACACTTTTTTTCTTGTGTCTCTTACATCTTATATAATGAAATAAATTTTAGCAAACAATAAATCATAATGTTATAAATAGTGTCCCAATGCTTTTATTTCTATTTAACTATAAACAACTCTTCTCATTGGCAAGGTTTTGTGATAGTTATTTGTTTCACAATTAATTGATCACAACTTATTTATTCCTTAATCACCTAAAGAATCCCTTAAAATAGGTCTTGCTTTCAGAAAACATAGTATGTGAACATTTCCCTACTTCACACCACTTTTAATATAAAAATGTCCACACAAGCTTAGTTTGTATAATTTTTTTAGGAGTTTTTAAAGAGTAAAAAAATTAATATAAAATTGAATAAAAATTTTCTCATAAATTATAAATAATTTAGTTTTAAAAATTTTTAAAAAATTATATGAAAATTTTTTTAAAAAAAAGTATTAGTTGTTTTTAACTTATGAAAGAATATTTATTCATTTTTTATATAAGAACTTCTTTAAGAATTTACTCAAACTAAATCATTATTTGACATATTATTAAATATTAATAATTACAAAAGTAACAATAAGATTCATTAAATTAGAATAGAAATACACATTTTTTTATGATTTTCAATCAATTTTAAGCAATAAAAAAAAAATATGTTACAAACATTTTTCTATAAAAATAAATGTCACAAGTTTTGTTATTCTTGTTTCTCAACAAGAAGTAATCACAGCTATTTCCATTTTAAACCCTTTACTTCTATAATAAAGCCAAACTAGAATACCCCAACTCTTGATATCTTATTATTGAACCAATACTTAAGATTTGTGCTAGTTGAAAACATTTACAACACAGTAAACTTAGCTCTTCCAACAAATTTTGTTAACACATAAGACTTGAACTCAAAACCCTACTTAAAGAAATCAAATATGTATCACTTAAACTGACACTCATTGATTCTTTTAATTACCTTGTGTAGTAATTGCATATATGTCCCTACAATGCAGGACATTGTCCCACATGCCAGGAGGCCAAAAGAGTGATAAATACACAAAATAGAAAAATTCATCAAAAAGTGCAGGCAGCATTCCTTGAGTTTGCACATTATATTGACAGAAACAGAGTTTCCAGATTCATCTAAGAATTTTTCATCACTCTAGATCAAAATCTTTCCAAATTCAATCACCATTTTACCTAACCAAGCATGCCATACAGATTGGATTGATTTACACGGGCATGCAACAAGGATGTCCATAAAAAATGCTTAGATGAAGCATATATAAAGCTTAATTGGATTTGATTCATGGATTCAAGAGGAATTGAGTAATAAAGCATTCATGCAAACAAACTCACTTTGATCCATAGCCTGCAAAATAAATTGACAAAGAATCTCTGTGGTGAACATTTTTAATAGATTAATTTAATTGATTGCAAAGCCATAATATGAAGATCTTAGAAACTGTTAATTAAATGGTTTTGTTAAGCTTAATACTTAAGCTCATTTTAAGCATGAAAATGTAATAATTTTCATCTAAAAAAAGTATTTATTTATTTATTACATTTTTCTATCCTTAATATAGTAAATATTTTTCTTTTTAATAAAATTTTATTATTTTTAAATGCATAAATACTGTTGACAAAATCATTAACTAAATGAGACGTATAACTATATAAAATGGAAAGGCGGAAAATTATATTTTTTTTAGTCGACGAAAATTATATCATTGGAAATGTTTTCCTAATACACTTTAGATTGTTCTTTTGACCTTGGGCATCAAAAAATTGTGGATGGCCCAATGCAAAAGAATGCATGAGTTTTTTTTTTTCACAAAAATAACATAAATAAAAAAACAATTTATCTTACAAATGCTGTATGAATTTGGTCAAAGCATAACTATCTATAAAGGCTTCGGCCCAAAAAAAACACTAACGACAAGGGCAGAGATATTTGACAGGCACAAAATGCTAGAACTTAAGACGATGATTGCAATTTTAAGAGATTAAAGTAAAATAAGACCTCATTGTATACATTTATCGAGCAGATTAATTGCACTTTCGATGTAATCTCGAATTAAATGACAGCTAGAATTAGCCATTTTGCCTGCCTGTGATATCCTTAATTCAGACTTTTTCAAACTTACTGCAACAAACAAAAGATGTGAAAAGTAGTTAGAATGAAATGACTAGTAATCATAAAATATTAATAGCCCCTTGCAATAGTCAGAATTTCATAACCACGGAATCGTGCTACCACACTAATGTGGAAAGCTACAAATGATTAATATCACTTTCTTCATCAAAGTTATTTAAACAAATGTTCACTTCAAAGTGCATTACAAACATACCAGACAAGCGCTCCTAGTCCTAGCAACAGGACATGACACTAACAATCTTCCACCTCTACTAAGCACTCCGATTTTATCATCATCAATACTACTATTATTTCACTGGGATGATAAGAAAAAACATGGATGATCTTGTGGGAAAATGGACCTTCCATTACAAGTCCAACTATATTATAATCTATGTAACACTCCTCTATCATACAATTTTTCCCATATGCCCATAAACTGAGGAAATGAAATTGTTCCTTCCAACAAAATTGAATGTGTTTAAAGTCCTTCAAACAAATAGAATTCCTGTGACCTGACAGCTCTAATGGCAGAAAAGATGGCTGCATCATATCAGAATTGGAATCATCCATGATCATTGGTAAGGAGTATGTGTATGCCAAGTATTTCAGAACAATATCCGAGTCCACACATAGCCATGATACACAATGATCAAACATGGTTTTCCTGAGCATGCCTTTTGCTGTCCCTCTCAGGATGGCCTAGCCGACTGACCTTGTTTCGATCATCAACATAGTCAAAACGATTATTGTGGTGAGGTCCAGGACCATAGTTATGCCGTTGCTTCCCCTCCATCCCTCTTTCAGGTGAGTTTCCAGCTCTTCTCTTACGATTGCTCGACTTGGGTGATGGAAGCCCTGCGCCAAAGTCATCAAGTGCTGATACCTCTCCTTCTTCAACAGCACTTAGATCCGGTTCATATGATGACGATCCCTTTACTCCATGAAGTTGCTCATCAGCATGATCTGGAAGTCTCCCATGCATGTCATAATCTGATCTGTCTGAGGGCTTACACCAGCTTTGCTTCTTGTCTTGTTTATTCTTCTCACTCTGAGGACCCAGTTCGATTCCATCTTCCAGTTCCCTCTCAATGAGATCATCATCATCCATGACATCTGTTTTCTTAGTTACGTGACCAGCTGCTTTCCTTCGTTTTTCTAAAGCAGCCTTTACCTTGTCTCTATCAATTTTCTTAATGGCTTCTTGAGGAGGCCGGCCAAATACACTATCTCTGTGATCTAGGTTTCTGCTACTATGTTTATCTTTCAATTCAGTTGGTTCTTTTGTTTCAATTCTGCCAACATTGTTTTCATGCTCTTTTTCACCATTATCAGATCGGGCTTTCACCATGTCTTGAGCTTCATGTAAGCTTTCCTTGTATGGTAGAGACTCCCATTCAGTATGTTGATTGCCTTTGGCATCATCTTCCACCCTGTGTTTCATTTCTATGCTTCCATAATCACCACTTTTAACATGATTTGAGATAGGGCGCCCAACATGATTTGCGACAGATGAATCAAACACAGACTTAGAAGATGCAGGCTTTGACGTTTCAAGTCTTGAACTTGTGGCTCCAGTCTGGGAATTACTGTTTGTGGCTGCAGTTTCATCATTACTAGCTGGAGCTTTCACAGTGGATCGATTGAAGGTGCCACCTCCTGCAGTGCCTTCAACATCATTGGAAGGTGGCATTCGATTTTGTTCGTACAGCTCTAACATTTGATTACTCACTTCTGCAAAAGGTAGGCACAACATCGGTCTTGCATTATAATAAAAATGTATAGATAATGATATTCAAAGTTAGCATGATTGCACCAGTCTCATCAAATAGTTGACTACTAAGATGCCATCACACTCAAAAAAAGAAAAATGAGCAACAGGAATTGGAGAAAGAATAAAGAAGAGATGACAACGGGATGGTACTTTTTTCCCTCATTTCTTTATACCACTAGTACTGAAAAAAAAGACACCAACCCTCCAATTGCCGTGGGGTGACATCAAACTCTTGCCACCAGACCTTCTCCCCATCGGATGGGAGCTTCACCTTGAGAAACTTGGCAGCAAGAAATATGGCTCCAGCTGCAATGTGATGAGGCTTAAATTGCAAGCAAAGTGATGTCCGAAGTCTGCACACCACATCCTAATTTCAGGAAAGAAAAATCAAAGGCCACTGGCCATAACAAAAATGATGTTATCTTCATACCCATCATTTACAAAGTTCCATGCAACTTGAGCAAGGGCATTTTGAGCAACTTTGAATTTCTTTATTGCCTCAACAAGAGGCTTATAAGGATGATGCACATTAAGATCAAAGCCAAGAGTTGCAAGAACAACTCTCTCTCCAAGCAAAATTAGTTCTTTCTGCTGTTCATACACTTCCTGTGCCATAATTGCATGAGAAATATTATATTAAAGGAGGGGTAGGAATAGACTAAAATGTTCAAAAGGAAATTTTATTTTGAAATAAATACCCACGAGGGTAAACAAACACAACAGAAAACAAACATGAACAAAAATAGAAAACAATGATAAAATTCAATTTCAATCCAGATATAAATTGCAAGTCAAAATTCTTACCCCTGCAAAGAAAACAGTTAATTAACAGGTAGTTCACTGCTGGGGAGATTGCTTAATAAAAGAACAAGGGGTGAGGGACATAACATATGATATACCTTTTGTTTTATTCTCTGTACTGCCGCTGGATCCTTCTTATGTATAATTTCATATGAAACAAGAATTACATCTTTTAGTGGGCGAGGAGTTTCTTCAACTTTCCCAGCAAGGAACATGCATACCGTTGCAATGGTCTGCAAAACACATTAAGTTACTAATTATTTCATCCTACCATCATAGGATTTATGACAAATGCGGATAAAGAGACGTAGGACAGCTAAACAGAGAAACAGATGACACTAAGTTTTCCAAATGAAGATAAAGAGAGTTACAAGGGAAAACTAGGAACCAGCCATCAGATTTATTGTTTGGGTAATAAACCAAAGCATAAAATTGAAATTCTACTTAGCATGCCAAAACTCAACAATTAACAAGGTAAGCAGCTTCTTGGTGACTAAAATAGAACAACTCTACAAATACAATTTTTGTTAGAAAATCAATGATCTTATCCTCAATGAAATAAAGTCCAAATAGGATAACTATAAAACTAATAAGCATAGTCTACTGATCTAACAGGGTAATAATTTTCAATCCTTGTTGCCCAGGAAGCTTATAAAAATATTAGGCAGACAAAAACATAAATATCTTTACAACTTGAAATATTATACATATCAGGTCTAAGAACCAATCTTATTATCATGGATGACAGGAGTTTTGATACCTAAAATAGAAGAATACTCATCAAACTCAAATTATCAATAGCTACAAACCATGCAACATTGACGGAAGACTTCAACAGAAATCAAACAAAATATGATTCTGTAGTTTTATAACCACGATAAACCACATTTCATTACATAGATAACATATTCCTTTTTTGTCTTTATTAACATAAAAAGATTACCCAGTATATTTTTTCCAATATATCTCTTAGGAAAGGCGCTATTTTAACACACTTAGGATTTAGACCCCGAAGATGAAGAAAGATGGTGTTGGGCCACTAGTACACTAAAGACTACTCATTAAGTCGGATAATAAAAGGGAAAAATATGATATTCTCAATTATGTCTCTCAACAATCAAGTGAGTTAGAAATGTAAAAAAAGCCATTCATGTGCTTGCACTTATTAGCTTAACCTTTTGGAATGGTTGGTTTATGACATGATATCAAAACTTGTATTACGAAGTGGTTTTGAGTTCAATCATCAAAATCAGTTCATCATCCCCACTATTCTAATAAAAAAGTTGAATTTCAGCACAAGATAGGTGGGTGGGCTTGTGCCTTATCCACACTTCAAGACCAAAGGGCTCTTGTGTGGGGGAGTGTGCCAAAGAGGTAATATAAAAACCATTCATATGTTTGCACCTAATAACCATAGCTGTGCCTTATCCACACTTCATGGCATAGTGTATAATAAGTTTGATTTTCCTGCTAATAAAGATCAAATTCACACTGACATCAAAACAAGCTGAACACCAACAAAAAAACTGGTTGATTGGCCTAATTCCCACCTTCTGGTGACCAAAATACCAAATAGATTGGCCAAATTCCTTTGCCAACAGTATGCCAATCATTGTATTGTACACATCCTTCACACTGACATTCTTCTACCTCACAATGGCAACAACCCATGGCAAAGAAATTCATACTTTTCTTCTGGCTGGTGGAATACATATTTTACCACCAAAATTACATACTAACTATTTAAGCTTGCATTTAATTCCTTTTGGGAAAAATAATTATAACGAACCTCATCAATTACCTGCAAAATTCAGCTCTGCACAAAGATATAAGGCCAGTTTGTTATTCAAAACAAGTTATTCTAGGATACAATTCTTTAAAATTTCAGAAGATACAAATTTTAGCTTCTAAGAGGATAATGTGCAGGTTATAACTTATAACCATTGATTACATGCACAAGTATGACAAAAGTTTGTTAAAATCACATCTGTTGATTTTTCAATCAACAGCTATAACTCTGAAGTTTAACCTCTAAAGTGAACTCATCATAGAAGAGCCAAACACTTTTCTTTTAAGGTTCTCTATTCCTTGAAAAGCTCAAATAATTATTATAATTTTTTAAAATATCTCTTCATTAAGAAAAGCACATATCCTCTAAAAGACACATAGTACCGGTTCTTACTTTAACATCGTCAATTGTCATTTACATCTATTCACAAGTTCTATGAATCACCTATACAACAAGATAATGATCTTTCCCATTTCAAAACATTTAACATGATAAGATACCTAATGCAATCTTCCCTTATGTGGTATATCAATTACTGACTGAATTTGTAGCTTTCTCTTTTGTCACAGTCCCATGATGACACATTCATGATGGCTTCTTCATGTGCAATTTTAAATATATATTTACATAACAGAATGCACCATATGTATCAAATAGTGCAACAATCAGCACCAAATTTTAATAAGCATAAGCACACAATGTAAATATAAATCTGTAATCCATCTTCCATAAGGTCATACATAACTCATCCACCAGTAACAAACGACAGATGAACAAGAGCAGAACATGCCATAGCAGCACCAGAACACTGAAAACAGGGCACAGGCAGAACAAAGCAAAGTTGCAGAATATGGTTGTGAACAGTATTTCAGGATCAGCCTCCAAATCAATGGAAGTGAGTGAGCAGAACTGAGCACAACAGCAGCGCAAAAATGAGGGAAACATAATTTCAGAATAGGCTATATAGATTTTGGGGTTTTCAGGGGCTTTCAGACTAACTGGGTCAGAAAACAGGTCATGGATCATTGTCTCAGAAAAACAGGTTTTTTAAACACAGTGGGATCAACCATGACTACCAATCCTACAATTCAGTGCAGTGATCCCACACAATTTCACCAATTCTTATTCTACTTGTGAGTCACACAGGGTTGGGGGTCCAGGCAGGATTGTAAAATCGTGTATTATATGTGTAAGCTTGCAATTTTAACTACCATGCTTCTGTTGAAAACCACTCTGCTATTTGAATCCTGTGGCAGCTTAGAGCAGGCCACACCGTTCTGCTACTCAACTATAGTACACTACTGACAACTGTGTCCTACTTTATTTTTTGTTGGCATTTTATATCCTTAATTTATTGAAATTTTAAGCATAACTCGTATGGTGTTAATTTTGATTAACCACACTATCAGCATAAATAAAAATCATAACCCATAATGAACAAGAGTCATCCAAACACAGTAATTCAAATACAATAGCCACAAATATATAGTAACAAGTCAAAAAACGAATTTGCTAACACTGCTCATTGAAATACATAAGCATAAATTTATTCACAGTTCAGATGGAGAAAAATTATCCACGAATGACGTTAGGCAAGTTATCATAACAGAAAATAAACTCACCCTCCTGTCATTTTTCACATGGGACTGCCGAAGAAAGAATCGGTGACAAAAAATTATTGCTGTTGCAATAGTTACCTGAGGTCTGAAACATAATTAAATCGGTATCAGCATCACGATAAATGAAGCCAGTTGTCTTCATTGCCTTTTATTGTTAATTTTTAACACAATAATGGAGATAAATAAATAGTTTCCCTTCACTGCCAGCAATATCTTATAAATACATAAACATATTAAGTTGCTAAGATACTCCTGATAAGCTCCTACCCAGGAAACAAATCAAAGCTAACACAACCTTACCTTATAATATTAAATACATTTGTCACTGAAAGCACATTTATATCAGTTTAAAAAAGAAGAATAAAGGATACTTGCAATAAAATCTAGTGCCTCAAACTAGCAATTTCAAGAAAATAAAAGAGCCTATCACAGTTAACATTGAGACTACTAATGAAGACTTACACTTTAAGTCTCATGCCTAAGTCTTGCAGAAATGTACAGTACGATTTGCGTAGGTATGTTTCTTTCTTCAAATCTATGCCATCTAGTTTGGATGGTGAATTTTCTTCAATCTCCTTCCTAGAAAAGTACCATCTTGAACCATCCTCTGGCTTCTCTTGGGAGTATCTTTGAGAAACACCTTGATTTGTTCCATGTTGAGAGATATCACCAAGCAACAATCCAGCCATGAGGTTGACAGCTGATGAAACTTAGTTTCGATGTATATCTGTATAAAAACTGCTCCCCGTTCATTAAATACAATAATGAGAAACAAAGTGACATACTAATGTGAAAAATAAATAAAATATAATCCCTAAATAAATCAACAAAATAAACTAGAAAATTATCCTTTCAATTTTTTACATATATTTAATTATCAAATCCAACAAATAATTGACAGTCCCCAAGATTTTAAAGAACATATCAGCCAATCTCAAACTTGGTTAATTCTATATCTGCTAAGAGGGTGGCATCAAATATCATATTCTTCTTAATAACATCACCATCAACATTAACACATATTAAATCTCAACATTCAATATTCCCAACACTAAGATATCCACATGTATTTATATTCAGAAACTTCACATCAGCACCAGAAATCCAGCATCACAACATAACCCATACCAAATGCCTCTAGAAAAGTAGCTCAACAGGCCACTGCTTTAATTCTCTACCATCAAAAAATATATAAAAATCACATCATAGTTTTCCACACCATACTAACCGATGATACTCTACACTTTACTCAGAAATCCAAGTTTACAAGCTTAGTTCCTTAAAAAACAAATATATATATATAAAAAAAAAAAACCTAAACGGGTGCCACTAGTTTATTATATCGAAAATTAAATTAATCAAATTGCAAAAGAAAATTTCCAGGACCCAAAAAGGTTCAGCTCATGGGCACCACGAAAGATTGTGAATTTAACCTTTACCTGTAGTAAAAGAGCAAAAACAAAGTTCAATTCAGTGTCTGAGAATAATTTGAGGAGAACAAAGCAAATTTTGTTCACAAGCAAAGAGAACTAGAGACCAAAATCAGCGAGCTCCCTGCACCAGCGCGATTAGAGAAAGAGAGAGACAGAGACTTTGATGATGTTACTGTATATGAGTGGAACAGGAAAAAAAAAAAGATTTTTAGGGGATTTTTCAAATTAGGGTTTACGGTGGTAATGGAGAGGAATGGAAGAGACTACGCCGTATCAGCGGCAACCATATACACCACCAAACCAACCCTGATATTTTTTATCTTCTTTTTGTTTTTTCCTTTTAACTTTTATAAATGAATATAATATATATTTCCGCATAGAATGATTTACCATCCCAACATGGTGAAGAGAATATTTTCAACTATGAATAGAAATTATCCCCCCCTTTGACAAAGTGAATGACAAAAGAAAAAAATAAATTGAATAGAAATTTAAAAAAGTATAAGTTTCACTTTTTTTTCATTTTTCTTTCAATAAAAAAGGATACTTTATTATTATTATTTTTCCTTCTAAACTAAACCGATCAGGTTTGTTAGCTTATTTTTTTCATGAAAAAACATTTTTGTTTTTTAAAAATTTTATTAAACTTTTAAAAACTACAAAGTAATCTAATGTTAATTACTTTTTAGAATTTATTTTGAATAATTAATGAAAACTAAAACTATAAATATTTATCAAAATAAAAAAATACTCTTTCAATATTGTAATCAAACAAAAATAAGTTTTATTATTTTGTACAAAATTTTTAGGGGAAAGAAGTATTGTATTCTCTAAAAATAAATTACTTTTTATATATGTTAAAAATTATTTCCTTGAAAAATTTAAAAAAAACACCCTAAAATCAATAAAAAAAAAATAGTTATAATCTACTAATTAAAATAATGGTAGTTATTGTAAATACATATAATATATAATAGTTTGCAATATATTAAGAGCTAAATTAGTTATTAAATTAAACAAAATAAATAATAAATTTTAAATTAACATAATAAGATTCTTTTATATATTTTAAATAATAATTAAATATTTTTAAAATTATACAATTTTAAAAAATATATATATTTTAATACTACATTATTTGGGTATATAGATTTTTCTTCTTAAAATTTTGATCATCTAAAATTTATTACATAAATTAAATTGATATTCTTTATCATGATATATTTAAAATAAAATTAGCATAATTTATTATCTAAATTAAATAATTTTTTCTCTAATAAATATTTATTTAATAATAATTTTAAAAAAATTGATTTAGAATAGTACTTTTAAAGTTAAACACTGTTTTTATATTACTTAATGTTTAAAAATTATTTATTATTACTAAAATTTGAAAAATATGAACTAAAAAGTGAAAAAACAAATTATGGTGTTAGTGTAAAAGAACAATAATGTACATTCATAAAATAATAAAATAAAATAGTTGTATTAAAAGAATAAAAAGTAATATTATGAATACCTATAAATAATATTAAAAATTATAATTTCTAATAAATAATATATAGATAAAATTACTTTCTTAGATTAATTATATTACATATTATTTTTCATTTAAAAATATTTTATCAATATTATTTTATTTTATAATTATAATAATATTTTATTTTTATCTATTATTTGTCATTATTATAATATTTTGAAAATGAAGAAAAATAATAACTACTGTACACATAATAATTACAGGTAGAATGTACGCGCAATTATAAATAGAATATCATTATTTATTATAATTGATTTAGGAATTCTTTTTAAGCACTTTCCAAATATCTTAGTAATAGTTAAAAAGAATATAACTAAAAAGTTAATAAAGTTGAAGTTTTTATTTTATTGTTTTTTCAAAATTATTATTTTTAAATATTATGTTTGAATTTTTTAATATCATTATAAATTTTATAATGAATAGTTATTTTTTATAAAAAATAATTTAAATTTAAATAATTGAAATTAATGCACGCTATAGCACAATTTTAGAACGACACTAATTTTAGTATTAATAAAGATAAATTTAGTTAAAATATTTACATGTGTTAAGAGTATAAAGTCACTCCTATTTGGTCTAATTTTTTTTATTTCTTCTTTTAGTTCTTTATGTTTTATCTTTTTTTTTCTAATTTTTTTCTTTTATGTTAATTAATTTGAAATATTAATTTATTTTTTATATTTATATTTTATTTCAGTAATAATTTTAATTAAAGAATTATATAATAATATATTTTATTTTATAGGTAACCAAAATTAGAATTTATGTGAGAAAGGTTAAAGTTCAATAGTAAAAGTGAGTAAAATATATTGTAATATAATATGATTTTTAGATATAGAGAATTTGTGAAATTAATTATATTGTTGTACTAATATGTTAGTAGTAAATTAAATAATTAAAAGAAAATAGGGAGATTAATGAATTTTAGATATTTTAAAATTAGTAAAATTTTAAAATATATATTTGTTATTAACCTAAAGAATTGTAGTTTTTAGAAATCGAAAACTTATAAAATTTGTTATTATTGTTAGTTCTTTCTTTGCATTATTATTTTCTAGTATTGTAACTAATTAGATATTTTATTAGGTAATCAATGATTATTATTGTATTTTTATTATTTTAAAAAATTATATAATATAAAATATTATGATATTAACTATGATTATAATTATTATTAATTTGATTATTATTATTATTATTATTATTCTTACAAATAATAATATTATTTTTCTTCTTTTATATGTAGAAAAATAGAAAAGCAAAAAAGAAAAGGAAAGTATAAAAAAATATTTTATATATATATATATATATATATATATATATATCATGCTCTTATTTTTCATTTATTTATATTTTATTTTTAGCTAGAATTCTATTTTTTTACTACTCATACTCAAACTTCATTATATCATTAATAAAAGTTCTTTTGGTCTTTACATATATTTGTTGTAGGGAAGGAAATTAGAGAATTTTCAAGTCTATAGTAAATCACTTTTCATTATGTACGTTTGAGTGTAAATACAAGCTTAAGTTGAGGTATATATTTTAAGAGGTTTTTAGCATTTTTGTTCTATGATTTAGTTTGATATAATTTTCATTTACTTATATGTTTTTGAATAATTTTTTGATTGTTTTGTCTCCTTAACACATTAGATATATAATTTTCTTCTTTTACTTACAATTATAAAATTTTAAGATCCATTGCAAAGTTTGTAAATATAATTTTTTTGTATTTTCATTTTCATGACAAATAAGTTTTATTTTTAGGATTTAAAGTATCATATTTTAATCACACTTATTAAGCTATAATATGACCTAATTATATAATATTAATGTTTAAATTACTTTAAATTGATTGCATTTATCTTGTTTCATTAAAAACTTCTTTTCATAGAAAAAAAGTTTTAGAACTAAGAGATATTGTTTGCATGGATTGAACAATTGCAGTTGTTCATGAAAATATTTAAATTACCATTTTAGTGGGCTTAATCTTATTTTTGTTAAGATCATTACATTTTGAATTTGTATTTATATATTAGACATAATTAGGATTGCTATAAATAGAATTTTTATCTCTTTTAGCATGCTTGATTTATCCTTTAAATTACCTTTATAGTTTGTTGTTATTTTTATATTCAAATATTTGAATTTTTAATATTAGTTATCGTCTTTGTTCTTTTTGTTTGTGCTCTCTTTCTACGTTTTATTTTTGTCTTTATGAATTTCAACATGAAATGATAAAGACTTGAGAATTGATTATCAAATTCAAGTTAAATAATTGAAATTTAAAGTTTTATTCTTAATCAAATATATATATATATATATATATATATATATATATATATATATTATCTCTTATTCTTAATTTTATTCTTAGGATTTGTAGAATTTTTGAATGTGCATATTTTATGATATTTGAATTTCATAACTCCTCTTAATATATAATTAACAAAAAATTGAATCATAATAATACTTAATTGTATATATTAGATTTAAGATTAAAAATCATATTTAAGTTACTTTAACTTTATGTTTAAGTTTAAATAAAATTTAATTAATGATAATTGAATTAAGATTATGAAACATTTGATTAACTAATAATCTAACATGAATTGAGTGAATACCCTATGTGCTATTCACAATAGAAATTTCTTTTAATCTAACTAATGATTAATTAATTATATTAAATTAAAAATAAGAATTAAAACAGATTTTAGATTTAATAATTAGAAATTCACGATAATTTCATTGTTGAATTGATTGAATAATCAGTGTTCATCGTTATTAATTCATTTATTTTGTTTTATTTTTTAATAATAATAATAATCAATTAACTTTTATTTATTTTAATTCCAGTTAATTCAAATTTAATATGTTTATAATACTTAATTTAATGTACATTTTCTCTAAAAGTACAATAAAAATTGACTTACCTAATGCTTTATTTTTATTTTATTTTTTGCATTATTATTTTAACGAAACAGCAACTTTGATCTTATTTCTCACTTGAATATAACTAAAATATGAAAAGTATAGAAAATAAAATCAACACAACCTTCAACTAACTTGTAATTAGATATGATGTTTTTTTATTGAAATTATGGTTGAATTTATACTTATTATTTTTGTACAAAGCCATTCTTTATTTATGAAATGTTATTTACATTTTGTGGTTTTTATATTATTTTCATTCTAAACAATATACCAATTTAGGAGATAATTTTTTTAGTCAAAAGAAAAATATATTCCATAGAATCATAAGCCGTGTTTGATGTAATTGTATTTTAGACTTTTTTTATCTTTAATATATATATATATATATATATATAAAAGTTGGTCCAGTTTCTCAAATAATGTTTTATAAATGTTTTTTAAAATATATTTATCACCACACAATAAATATTTATATACAATAAATTTATTTTATAAAATATAAATCATACTATATTAATAATATTAAATTTATAATTTGTAATAAAAAAATTATGAATTTTTTTATTATATAATCTTAGGTATACAATAAAAAAAATGTTTCATAAAAGCTTTAAAAGATAAAACATTTTTTCTCAAAAAAAATATATAAACGAAAAGTGGAGAAGGTAAACGGTAAAGGGTGATCTTTTCATTTAGATTTTTTTTAATTGATTTTTAAGAGGAAAGAGAATAAAGAAAAAGAGTTATATAATAATTATTTTTGAAAGTTTTAAATGAGAGGAAAGTACAAGATTAATTTTTTGGATTTTGTTGAAGTTGAAAAAAGTGTAACATTGACAAGATTTTGTGCAAAATCATAATCAACCATTTTTGCAAACTCAAAAAGGTGAGTTGTATACCCTTATTTGTTTTAAGTGAAACTTTTTCTTAAAACATATTTAAATTTGTTTAAAAAAATTTAAATATAAATTTATTTAAATAAAAATAAAATTGAACGTTAACCCAAGAAGATGAAAACCGGTAATGCTGCTTCAGTATGCAACTCATTGTTTTAACTTTTGGGGCTTTCTAATAAATCATCGTAAAGAAATATTATGAGAAAATTGTTAAATGTTGTTGACATGTCACTGTTCTTATGACAAAATATGAGCACCCTTTTCAGGGGTTAAATGAAAAAAAAAAAAAAAATACTAAAGGATGACATAATAAAAAAATAAAAAATTAAGATTTTGAACACGAAACAACTTACATGATTGGTGTCATTCTAGTTTTTAATTTTTATATAATTTAAAAATTAATTAATATTTTTTTACACTACTTTGTTACAATGTATAATATGACATCTAAAATACAAACAGATTTTTATTATTATATAAAAATTTAAATTTATTTAAAAGTTAATATATATTTATGAGTTTGCCAAGTTACTCCATGAAGTAAATAATTCTATATTAAATAAATATATTAAAGAGATTTTATACATAAAAAATTAATATAATTTTAGCACAATATTTTAATTTTATTATTTCACTTAAAACAAAATTACTTATTTCATGGATAACGTAGATAAATCTTACATAATTTATAATAAAATTTAATTTCTATAAAAAGTAATTATATGTGTCATTTTTTTTTAAAAAAAAAGAGAGAAAATTCTTAATTAGTTTAGTACTTAAATATTATCACTGAACGTAAATTACGAATACAAAACATGTCTGATACACATTTATAAGAAATTAGATTTAATTCTCGCACTATGTGGATTGATTAAATTAATTTTATTTATAATAGTTAAAATAACTATATTATGAAAAAATATTTTATTGATATTTATTTTTAAAATATGTAAATTCAAAAATATATAAATTTAATTAAAATATATTAGTTATTTAAACATTTTTATATTATCATTTAATTATATATTACTGAAATAACAACAAATATTAATTTTTATAATTATAATAAATATAAATATATATATATATAGATATAATAAAATAATTTTATTATTAATTCAATGAAATATATTATAATATGAAGAGAAAAAGTATGACAAAAAAATAGTAGTAAAATTAAAGTTAAAAGTGATAGATAATAAATAACTACATAAAATATGAAGTTACTTAACCAGAATAATATAGGTAATTTATAACACTAGTAATATGAAAAATAAAACACATATGAGATGGAAGGAGAAACTTATTTAGTATAACATAACAGAAATGAAAATCTCGCTTGAAAGGGTCTTACTTATCACTAGGGAATGCATGCAAATTGTTCAATCACAACCAAAAGGAGTTAACATTGATTACAACCACGACAAAGTCGATCTCTTAAGCCATAAAGGAACTTGAAGTAAGCGTGTCTCCATTTCTTATTTAAGAAAATGGCACAGCAAACACCCAAAAAACCCAAGGCAAATCCAGATTCTATACCAATGTAAAACCATGACAAAAATGCAGATTCATCCATTGCCATTGTATCTTTTGATTTACCATCCTGCAAGCAGATTTTTTTGAGTGAAGGTCCACAAAGATAGTGGTTTCCTATATAACTGAGTGCACTAAACCCCTGAAGTTGTGTAGCTGATGGTATTTGGACTGAGAAATTGTTGAATGACAAGTTTAAGTAACCAAGAAAGAACAAATTGGACATGCCCTGAGGAATTTCACCCCTAAGTTGGTTTGATGATAAATCAAGGGACTCCCAAGTTCTTCATATTGCCAATCTCTTTTGGTACTGTTCCCATTAATTTATTGTTGGACAAGTTCAAAGAGTTCAATCCAACGAGGCTAAACATTTGTGAAGGTATTGATCAAGATAGATCATTGCTGGAAAGATCAACTAAGGTCATAAAATGTAGGTTGTCTGCATATTCTGACCCCTGACCCTTAGTAAATAGCTCAAGATCAACATAGTAAAATATATCACCCTGATCAAAGTAAAAAGTAAGCTTACTATGTTGCACTGTTGAAAACTAAAGATGTGATATTATTTAGGCAATTGGGTATATGTCCTGAGATTCTATTATCTCCAATGTCCAAAATAATGAGGGAAGAGATTTGGCATGTTTGTGGTGGAATGTTACCACTGAATTGATTGGACCTTAATTGGAGAGCCTTGGCACTCTTTGGTATCCAATTTGGCATATTTCCTGAAAAGTTATTTTCACGAACATTGAAGACCAAAAGAGGGCAATTTTGCAACGAGGGAGTTATCTCACCGTATAGCTCATTCTCATGCAGATGCAACGCATTAAGATTAGATAACAGGCCCATTGATGGGGGTATCTCTCCTGTTAAGTAATTGCTTCCCAAGTTAATATGAACTAATGACTTCCAATTCTTCCAACAATTACAAATTGCTTTTCTCATTCAACATCTTATGATCACCCAAAAGGGGAGAGATGGTTCCTGATAATGTGTTGTTTGATAAATCAACAAAGGCCACATTTCTTGATAGTTGAGGCAGACCACCTTTCAAATTATTGTTTGACAGAATTATGAATTTAGAGTTCAACAACACATTTGATATGTCTCAATCTATTGAATTATCTGCTAAATATAGTTGGCCCTTCGTCATCGATACAAAATTCCAAAACTCATCTTGAACCTCAATTGATGAGTAAAAAATACCAATAGAATCAAGAGATCTTTGTGTTGATAACCATGCAGGAGGTTTAGAACCACCAAATACTAAACATGTTTCGTCAAGTTGAAAAGGAGGAACCAAGAGGGGATCAAAATCAAAGATTAACGGTTGTGGTAGGCATATATTCAATATCTTCAACTTTGATAGTTTTTCAAAAGTTCTCTTGGACACAACCCCTGTCAAATTATTTCTGTCGACATTAAAGACCATTAAGGATGATAGATTTCCCAAATTGGTGGGAATAGATCCAGAACACTTGTTCTCTTCAAGAATAAGATCTTGTAAATGTTCAATTTGTCCAAGCCATTCTGGAATTGGTCCATTGAAGTTATTTGATCCCAATATCAAGGATTTCAAGTTTCAAAGATTTGGCAATGCCTTTGGTAATTGGCCTTTTAAAGAACTACCATAAAAACTAATATAACAGATAGCACAACTAAGATTGAATAACCATTGAGGCAACTCCGAGTCAAATTTATTATAGGAAAGATGAAGACCTTGAAGTGAAGTAAAATTAGCATATCGAAGAGACGGACTCAAGTCTTCAAGTTGACAATGACTCAGGTACAATCCTTCAAGTGATGAAAGCTTGGTTACTGATTGGAGCCAACTAGTTTCCTTGTGAAGATCAATGTGACCAAGGTCGAGATATTCCAAGGAAGAAAGGTGGGAAAGCCACTGAAGATTATCAATGACAAGATTCTCATTAATTGATAAATCAAGATAATAAAGAACTGAAGAGTTGACGAACTCACGAAGAGGGGTAGCAAGAGATCCATTATGATTATTTTGACTACTAACAAAGTCAAATTGGATAGCTAAGAAATCATTATTGCTCAAATCCAAGTAAGTTAGAAATTTTAACTCCACAAAAGATAAATGGATAGAACCTGTAAGGCAGTGTGATTTATCCACTTTGTCAACATATGTTGGATAAAAGGTTGTAGAACATGGAAGATTGAGCTCAGTAACTCTACTTGTGATGTTATCACAAGTTACTCCTCTCCACTCACAACAATCGTTTTTAGTGGACCATGAAGAGAGCACACCTGATGGACCTATGGCTCCTTGCTTGAAATTTAATAGAGCATTCTTGTCTTTCTGGTTAGAGTGGATCTTGAAGCGGGACGTGCCCGTGTTGAACATAAATAATATTGCACATAGTAACCATGCAAATATGATTGCATACTGAGAAGATGTATTCATCGTTACGCCAGAATTGAATGGGCTTATCATGAATAACAAAGCACAAGTCACACAAGGTGGACTAATCTTCACTGATGCAACGTATGACAAATAAGTGATAAAAAATAATTAGTAATAGCAAGATATATGAATATTTTTTAGTTCTTGATGTACACATGCACGTAGTCGTTGTAAATTATAAGATAAATGTGAACACTAAAATTTTGATTTAAATTTTTTTTTTATTAATAAAAATAAAAAAATAAAAAAATAAAAAATCTGAATTTTAATATTATAAAAGAAGAATGGAATCAAAAGGTTTTAAAAAAAACAAAAAAAAAATTTGTCTTAATAAAATAGGAAAATTTCAGAATTAATTTTTAAAAGGAAAATAGAATATGACAAATAATTAAATTCTTGAACCAATGTTACTTTATACATAAAAAAGGAAAAATTCAGAATTTTGGGCCTTTTGGTGAAAACTCTAACAATAAAAGGAAAAAAGGACCATGAAGCAGGGGGAGACATAAGAGGAGGCTAAAAAATTTTTGAGAGGAGGCATTCTAAAACAGGGAGAGAAAAGAGAAAATAGAGAGAAAGAAAAGTTAGTGGAAAGGAGGAAGAACAAGAGGCAAGCAAAAATTTTCAAGAACATCAAGTAAGCTTCATCATACATTTTACACATTTTTCTTCTTCATACATATTTATATTTTGAATAAACATTTCCTATATCAAATCAATCTCAAATGAAAAAAAAATATTTTAAACCACCATTTCAAATATCCATGTCTCACCACCTCTCCACTCATTCCTCCATCTATCATCATCCACAAACACAAAACTCACCATAAAAAAACTCTTTCCCTACCTTGTATCATTCCTCTTCCTTTTCCTCTCAATAACCTTCACCACTCAAAACCATGGCCTCCATTAACCTTACATCCACCCTTTCATAACCTTTTTTTGTTTTTCTTGGAGAAAAGCACACCCCTAACCCTAAAGTCCTTCCCTCTCAAATCTGAAAATTTCAAATTTGAGACCATTTTATACTTTTTTTATTTTTTTATTATTTTTTTGTCCGAATTTTTATTTTATTTTATTTTTATCATTATTTAGTTCAACATATAATTTATTGTTTTAGTTTTATTTATTTATTCATCATCATTATTATTTGTTATTATGATAATTATTAATTTATTTGATGAATGAGTGTTTATTATTATTATTATTTTTTTATGTTAACTTTGTTTAAATTATTTTATTTTATTTTATTTATTTAAAATCTCTTGATACCGTTTACTTTACAATATCATATCTGAGTTGATTTTTTTTTAAATTATTTCCTTTTTTATATTTCATTATTTATATCTTATTTTTTAGGATTGTTATCTTTTATTTTATTTATTGTATATTTGTATCATATTAATGCGATTTAATTTTATATTTATGATTATTTTATTTTATATTGTGAATACTAAATTACTTATTTTTTTTATAATTAATTAATAAATAATAATATAATTGTATCAATTTATAATACTAACGTATAGCTTCTCTATCGTCATGTATTATAAATTGATAAAGTCTATGTGTACCTACATTACCAAGACTTTATGCAATATTAACTTATCACATATTGTCATTAATTAATTAGTTAATCACTTTAATAATAATGCAAGATGTATTTCTCTTCTAAATACTAATTTACAAATCAATCAACTAATTTAAATCTAAATTATTTTATTAAGAAATAATTTATAATGCTAATGTATAGCAACTCTACCTTTATGCGTTATAAATTGTCAAAATCTATGTGTACCAACGTTACCTTAGGTTTTATATAATATAAATCTATCAAATAAAATTTTTAATGTTTTTTATTAAATGAGTATCTTCTTTAATCAATTCAAATAAATTTTTTTTTATTTTCTTAAGTCATGTTTCAAATTTTGATAAATTAAATTACTATAATTTATTCATTTTATAAATTTTTATAATATCGATGTGTAATTTACATTGCCTTCGATAGTCTAATAAATTATAAGAAATTCATGTATAGCTTACGCTATCTTAAATTTCTTTCAATATTAATCATAATCAAAATTAAAATTCAAATACTCCATTTACGAATAAAATATTTCTTAATGATTTGCAGTATAGTTGTGTGATCTTCCTTCACTTTCTGTATTGTTTTCTCGTAGGGTACATGTATAACTGCATTATCTTGTATCCTAAACATTATAATTTTTACGAAAAATGATTTTAATTCTAAAATAAATTTTTCTTTTACTAAACTTAATTATAATTAACTAATTTCATAATTTTTAGATAGAACTACGTGGCTTTGAGTTCTCTATTGCATCCGGGGATACGTAGGAGCGGGAACCGTACCCGTCAAGTCAAAATAATTTTTAAAATAACCCGAATAATATTTCAATAAATAATATTTCTTCTTCTAAAATAAAATAATTAATGTTTAGGGGTTAAATAAATATTTTTCAAAATTAGAATAATTTTGTACAATTAATTTTAGGTAACCGTTTTTTAAACGTACGTTGTAGGGTGTTAATACTTTCCCTACACGTAAATGACTCCCGAACTCATTTTTTGGTTTCAAAGATCGTATTATATTTAAGTTTTTCCAAGGTTTTTTTTAAAAATAAACTTTGGTGGCGACTCCTCTGATATTTTGGAACGAGTTTGTCATCCGTCGTACCGTTGCGATCGCCGGGTTGCGACAATAATAATATTGATATTTATGTATATTTTATGTTTATAAATATCTTTCAGCTTATATGTATTCCACATAAAATGAAACAAATAATAATAATAATAAACCCATTTTCTTAAAGTTTTGAGTCAATACATGCCATAGATTCAAACTCGATTATTGAACAAATTGATCAAACTTAATAAAAGCTTTGAACAAGGTTAGTTGTAAGATTTAATCACGCAAAAGTGGACCATTCGTCTTATGGAAAATTAGCTGCAGTATTTAATCAAATAATTGACCACTTATATCGTGAGATAAATAAGCTGATTAGAAACAATTAATAATAACAAGATATATGAATATTTTTTTCGAATGGAAAAATAGTTGTAGATTTAATAAATAATTAACAGTTATATCATGCGACAAATAAGTGATTAGAAACAATTAATAATAATAAGATGTATGAATATTTTTTTTAAGTTATCAATGAGAGTATATTATTCAAGTAAACTATTAGTAGAATTATTATTTTTCACATTTCATCACATGTGCATTTTAAAATTAAAATTGAATAAAAATATATGTAAAATACATTTTTTCTTACTATAATTTTTTTATTTGTATTTTTGTTAATTTCATTATAAATTTTGAAGATAAAATTAAGTTGTTATTTAACGTTCCTTTGTTATCTTGTATAAACTTTATACTTTTTGAGAATATTTATTTTTATATTTATAAAAATTATTTTTATTTTTTAAAATTTAGTGTTTACTTTTAATGTCTTGTCTCTTAAATTTATGCTATTAATATATATTGAGTGTCGATATTTAATTTAAAAGTTTTTTTTTGACATTATATGATAAATTTATTATTTTTAAATAATTTAATTTTATTAAATTTTTATTATTTTGATATATTATTCAAAATAATTTTTTAAAAAATTTATTATTTAAAATAATTATATATATGTATAAACTAATTTAGTAGCTTATACAATATACACATTTTATTTCATAATTTGCCAAATTATGAAAGAAAGTAGTTTTATTAATGCTTCAGTTCTCAAATAGTTAACTCTCATATATAAATATAAAAGTAGATATTCATAAAAAAATTATAAATTTATATAAGTTAATAAGCAAAATTTATGTATATAACAACTTTAGTTTCTAAATTTAGAATAAAATTAACAAAAATGTAAGTAAAAAAATCATTAGAATAAGAAAATATAATTCTTACATAATTTTCAATCAATTTTAATTATAAAATATGAGTGAATTATGAAGGAAAATAACTCCACTAATATATTTTATTTTATTTTTGCTAATGGGGTTAAAAATCCAAAAAAAACAACCTAAAAAATAGACTTACAAGCTCAACTACCACTAGTATTAAGGCAAAGCAAGGGGAGCAATTTCAAAGGGGCAACATCAAAACAAGATAGGTTAAAGGGCCCTTAAGACCTAATTTAGCAAGTTTATCCGTATAAATGTTAGCTTTCTTTAAGATATAGACAAATCTAATGAAACTAATGGATTTTATCAAATTCTTAATGTTGGTAATCAACTCAAACAGAAGATGTGAAGACTGTTGGGCATGGAGAATAGGGCCAAGGCTTTTGTGGAATCACTCTCCACCCAAATAGTTTGAATATCCTTTATAAAGATTAGATGGAGTCTCCAAAATAAATCCCATAACTCAGCAATAAGAGGGGAACAACCATTAAGCTTTATGTGGAAACTAGAAATAAAATTTCCATTGCTATCACGGATTATCCCTCCACAAGTAGCTCCATCACAAGACACTGCACCATCCACATTTAGCTTCAACTAGCCAGGAAAGGGAGAGATCTATTTGGTTCTGATTTGATCCTTAGCCATTCTAGGCAGAGTTATGATTTTATTTCTACAACAATTGAACCAAAAGTTAAAATCAAATAAGATTTTATGAATGATTTGTTGTGTAAGGAGAGAAGAAGCTTAGAATATAACATAATTTCTATCCTTCCATAAGTGCCAAATAATTAAACCAAATAGATAGTACCAATTAGGAAATTTACTAAACCTATTATTAGCAAAGTTCAGAAACAACCAGTCAATAATTCCTAAACTATAAAATTGGACCCATTGATTAGGAAAAGTAAAATGTTCCCAAACTTGTCTCGCATAGAAACAGTCTCTAAAGACATGCATAATAGTTTTAGGGGCCTCACCACACTTAGGATAGAGATCATTATTAGTCATATTTCTAACAAACCTTTCTTCATTAGTAAGCAACTTGCCATGGGCCAATTTCTAGAGAAAAAGGAAAATTATGGGAGGCCCTTGCCACTTCTAAACATAATGAAAGAGATTATGTCTATTCTAAAGACCTTCAACAAACTTATAATAAAGGCGGTAGGCGGACTTGATGGAGAAAATACCATTGGTTGTTAAATTCTAGAAGATTGAATCTATCCCCCTGATCTGGGCAGGAGGAACAATTTGAGAAATATAAAGATAAATTTGGGGAGGAAGCACAAACTTAATTTTGTCCCAGTCTCAGCCATCCTTATTGGCAAGTAAAGCAGCAAGAGAATCTAACTCATAGGCTAGGACAGGGTGCAAGACAACATTAAACAAAATAGGCACTTGAGGAATCCAGGCATCCCTCCAAAATTTAGTATCCATCCCATCCCCAATTATTCAACTTAGGCCTAGGGAAAATTTAGGCCACACAGATGCTATACTCTTCTAAAGATGGAAACAATTATTATTCTTGGTAGATGGGGGTTCGTTAAAGAAAAATTTACATTTTTGTTTAATAACCTAGACCCACAGATTAGAGGATGAGGTACTTAACCTCCAACATAATTTCATATTATAACAACTATTCAAAACATAGAGATTTCTAAACCCAAAACCTCCTTCAAACTTAGGTATTGGATTACATTTCCTTCCTCTTAAGGATCCCTAGATAAACTGTTTACAAAGTTTATCTACTTCATTACAAACTGAGGTAAGAATCATCACAGATTGCATCACATATGAGGAAATACTTCTAAGAAAAAATTGAGCTAAAATCACCCTTCCAGCTAAGGAGAGAGATTTCATTCTTTAGAAGGAAAGTTTTTTTCTAATCTTATCAATAATAAAGAGGAATTGATGCCTATTAAGCTTGTAATGGCTTATGGGAATGCCAAGGTACTTACCAAATTGAGTAGAAGGTTGGATGCCCAAACTTTCACTAATAGGCATAATCAATGTTCTTAGAAAAATAAAGAAAGGAATTATTGACATTAATTTTCAAACTAGAAGCTAAACACAAACTATTAAAAACAGAATTAATAATCTCAACTTGTTGCACAGTAGCTTTGGTTACTAAAATAATGTCATCCACAAAAAATAAATGTGAGATGTTAAGATCATCAATACTAAAAAGGAAAAAAGGCCACTCCTTGGTACTAATTTTATCCTTAATTAAATGGACTAGTCTCTCAATGCATAGGACAAACAAATAAGGGGACAAAGGGTCCTCTTATCAGGTACCCCTAGTAGGACAAAAAGATTGATGAGACTGTTATTAATATTTAAATACATAGAATGCGAGGAAATGGTGTGATAAATAAGATGCACAATATCAAGGGTTATACTAGCAAGGTTAAGAGAATTCATTATGAAATTCCACCTAAGTTTATCATAGGCATTTTCCAAATCCAATTTGATAAACATATATTCATTTTTTGCCTTTAATGGTATGGAAAGAGTGCATTAATTCATGCAGAATCAGAGAATCATCTATACCTTGTCTGCCAGAGATAAAGCTAGTTTAATTAGGGAAAATTAACCTAGGGAAATAGTCTCTGAGTCTATTAGCAATTATTTTAGTTACAATTTTGTAGCTAACATTACATGGTGAAATAGGCCTAAAGTTATTTATATACTCAGGATTCTCAAATTTAAAAATAAGGGTGATACATGTTTCATTGACTTCAGCTATTTCACTAGAATTCAAAAAAATATTAGACACAAAAGTATGTAAAAAAGGACCTAGAAAATTTCATTGGGACTTAAAAAGTAGAGCATAAATGAGAAAAGTTCACTAATATTGTTTTAATAGTTTACTCTTATTTATCAATAATTTGACACTTCAGGTAATTTCTATAAATTATAAGATGAAAATATTAATATTTGTTTACATTTTATCTTTACAAATCTTTTTTAGATTATCTGTACATCATATAAAAAAAAAATCAATAGGTCTAGTTTCTTAAAGTTTTGAGTTAACACATGCTCAAGACAAATCGACAAGTTGATCCAACTTTATCCTTTTTAGATTATTGAGAAATGCAATTTTAAAAACTAAAAGCAAATTTATAGGAAAAAAAAATTAACCATTATTCTAAAGAAAATATTTATCGAATGTCAAAGTGAAATAGTGAAATGCTACCCTCTTTAATTTTTTAGATATATATTTAAGATGTGTATATATAAAAATAATAAAAATATAAATATTTATATACAATATCATTTATGGTGTTTTTTTTTTTTGTTGAAGATTAAATGATGAAACTCTAATTCTTATCCCATAACTTACGAAAATTATCCGAACAATATTTTAAATTTAAATGATAAATAAATGGATCGAACTTTTTTTATTTTAGGGCATTGATTAAAGAAATAGCAATACATTTTTATTAAAAGATATGTCTAAAATATATTAAAAATAGGATAGAAATATATTAATGATGTTTTTTTTTTTAATAAACCTTTTCACATCAAAATTATTTAATAAATGCCTTTAAGACAATTTTTAATGTTTGTCTAAATAAATTAAACAAATACTAACCATTAATTTAAGAATATAAGTTGCTTCTTTAGTCTTATATAAAATATCTATTTTTCATTTGTCTCAAATTATTTGTCACTTTAAAATATTAAAAAAGTATAAATTATTTTTTATTAATATCTTTAACCATTGTTACTAACTAATCATTATGATAATACCAATATTTCTTAGAAATATTTCTAATTAACTAACTACTATAATAACCGTAGAACTTTTAATAGAACTTTTTTTTTGTTTTTATAAATTTTTAAATAAAATTAAGTTGTTTTATCGTATAATACTTAGTAAAATTAATCATTTTGTCAATGTATGTATTAATATTAAATAATAATTTAAATTAGATAGATAAAGTGCAAAATAAAATAAAATAATTAAAAATTTTATTAATATACCTTTATCATAATTTATTAATTAATAACTATGCAAAGCACATGTGTATTTTATTAACTTAAATTTATTAGAGTTAGATAAAATAATTATGAACAATAAAATTATTACTAATTATGAACACTTCTATTGATTAGTACTAAAATTTGAGACCACACGTTACAAAAATTGTAATTACCTGCATGTAAGTGTGGTAAAGCTAAAAGTATGTTGATGTGATGTATATATTACTAATTAGAGAGTAACTACTCATTTTAATTTTTCAAGATATAAGCGTTATCTTAGTCTGATATTTTACATATATTTCACTTAATATTTGACTTTAAAAAATTATTTTGTTTCTTTTATATAAAATAGTGAAAAAAAAAGATTAAATAAATAAATTTTAAAATATCTAAGATTAAAGTGAGATTTTATAAAGATTAAAGATTAAATTAATCAATATTTATAATTTTAAGAATTAAAATAGGTATTTACTCAATTCTTTACTTTCCTCTACTATTCTACCCAAATTTTACTAAGAATTCCTAGACCTAAAGGAAAAAAAATGTGGATTAAAAGATGGTTCTTGCTTTGGCAAATTTGCATTAAAGGGGATTTTGGTACATTTTATAAGTAGCACAATAAAATTTAGAAATGTGTATAATATTTGTCTGCCTCATTTATTATTTGAATTTTATTTTTTTTATTTAAAAAACTATCATACCTATGCTTCGACAATTAATAAATGTTGTGCTTCGTTAATCAGAATTCATTATTATTTTCCAAGCATGAGTATCACACTAATTAAAGCCACTCATAAGAGGTAATGTGATTATAATTTTGTGACAGGTTATAAGTTGGTATTTACCATATCTTTTTCCTTTTGGAGTATGGAAGAATAAGCGTTTCAAGGTGTACATGCAAAATCTAAGTATAATTTCAAATTGTTGTATAAATATCATAACAATAATGTAATCCACTTCTCATGGTGAATAACTGCACTTCATTTTTAAATGGCATGAACAAATTTAAATGAACAACTAAATAAGTAACTATAGTCAGGGAAAAGAAAACGAAAGGCAGTGCCAAAACCACATACAAAGGAAAATATATATTTTAAATTGCTATTAATAGTCAGAACCATGAAGGCAGGGATTTGGGGGCATTGGAACTTCAACAATTCCTTCTAGCATCAGCAAAACCTTCTTCATGTTTGGCCTAACGGAAGGATTTTCTTGTGTGCACCAAAAAGCAATCATGACAAGCTTTTCAAAGCTCTCCATGTTATTGATAAACTCACGATCATTCTCAAAAAGAGCATCTAGTGTTTTAGTCTTGTAGCAATCATATGCCCAATCAGTTAAAATCCCTTTTTCTTCACTAAGAAGCTCCTTTTCTACATTTTTTCTACAGCAAATGATCTCCAGTAACAGTACACCAAAACTATAAGTGTCAACCTTAGCAGTGATTGGTACACTCCTAAACCAATCAGGTGCAACATACCCTTTTGTTCCTCTAATTCTTGTTTCAGTGTGACTTTCACTAATCAACAATAGCTTTGCTAACCCAAAATCAGAAATTCTGGCATTGTATTGATCATCTAGAAGTATATTTTGTGGCTTGATGTCACAATGGATAATCTGGGTGCAACATTCCTCATGCAAGTAAATAAGACCTCTTGCAATCCCAAGGGCAATTTGGAATCGTTGATTCCAACCTGGTTTCAAAGGAGTGAAAAGGAAGCTTGCTAAAGTTCCATTGCTCATAAATTCATATACCAGAATCCGATGTTGTCCTTCATTGCAATATCCAAGTAAACGAACTAGGTTCCTGTGATGTGTTTGGCCTATCACATTCACTTCAGTTTGGAAGTCCTCATCAATTTCTTGGAACAACTTATTTAATTTCTTGACAGCCACACTAGCAATGTCTATAGTTCCTTTGTAGACAATGCTGAAAGATCCCCTTCCCAATTCTTCTGTGAAGTTGCTTGTTGCTTCCACAAGTTCTTCGAAGGTGAAATTGCGCAAATTTCTATCAACAGCAATTGTGTTGGTGCTCCTTGTTTTGATCTCCTTGGGTTTGCATGAGAAACAGAAACATATTGAACCAACCAACATTATAATGACCAAAACAGAGCCACCCATAAGAACCGATATCACAATGATCAATGTATTGTGATCTTTTGGGTAAGAGGTGATTGTATTGTGATCTTTTGGGGAAGAGGGGGAAGTTTCATTATTTTTCATCAACTTCATGATAGAAGTTCCATTTACTCCCTCATCTTTTCTCCCATTCTTGAGTGGCAGCTTCTTCTTCCAACAAGAACTTCCTTCAAAAGTAACCAAAACACACAAACAATCTTGCAAACAAGACTTCATGCAATCTTGTAGACTAGAAGGTCTTAGTGTTTCATAATCAGATTTAGGCCAATCAATGTTTGGTAATTCCTTCATTATGTATAGATCATCATACGACCTCTGAGGTCCATCAGCTTGACAAGTGTTTTGAAAATTTGGGCTGCAGTCACCATACATGTTATCTGAATGCTTAAGAGAATATCCCTCTGGGCAGTTACATATTGGCCTTTGGTCATCATTGAGGGTGCAAATACTATTCAACCCACAAACACCATCACCACTTGGGGATATAGAAGTCAAACAAATATTTTCTGGCATAGCTTTTCTAGTGACCCATCTTGTTCCAATGCTTGGATCTTTTGGGTAACTTGATATGGCAAAAACTCCATCATAATTTATTGTTGCTTTATAATAGAAATCATCAATTGAGACCTTCTCATCTGGCTCAGATATTTTAAACTTCTCCCCAGATTTTTTTAGTACGTATAAGTAGCCTGATTTGTCAAATATCAATTGCATGCCAACATTTGTTTGATTCTTACTATCTGCAGTTTGTGTGTCATAGTAAGGCTTATAACTATTGTTGTTAGACAAATTTACAAGGTTGAGTACAAGATTGCCATCTTGTTGTAGAAGAAGTTTGAACCTTCCACGCGAGAAGTTGAATTCTCCTTGTCGAGAAGAAAGATAGCCATTTAAGTTCATTACTTGAGTAGGCAGCAATGTGTCAGTTGGATGATTAAAACTATCCCATAATGGCACAAAATTTTGGTCTAACAGTTGAAAATTTCCACTATCATTCATTAGACCATTATAAATTGTACTTGATGTAGAACCTGATTTCCATAACTCTGAACCTTGAGGGTTCCTAAGCACTAGCCCAAGGGAGTCAGTTAGTTCCAATCTTGATCCTATAGGAGCAGGGTTGTCACCATTTGCATACCAAATGATAGTCTTGTTAGGTATCTTGTCATACCATACAGCCAACAAGAAAACCATATTAGGAAGTTGGTAAAACCCAAATGCAAAATCGCCTGAAGGAGATAGCCACCCAGTCGTCCCATTGCCCCCATTGCTAGCAGTAAGTGAATCACCAACTCTGACACTCTTGGCTAGCGATCCTAAGCTACATCATATCACACAACATATAAATTACTGGTAATATGCAATGTTTTAAACGTATTTATTAGTTAACCGTAGTTAAACTGTGGTCTAATTGGTGATATATATATAATATTTAATTAAAAATTAATATGATAAAATAATATTTTAAATTTATATTAATTAATTTTATTACATGTTAATAACAAAAATTATATTTATCTTAGTAATCTATATAATATGGATTTATTTTAATATGTTTTTCTATATATTAAATATTTTTGTATTAAATTAATAATATATATTAGAATGTGTTTATTTCCTCAACAAAAGATCACTTTTAAATGATTAAAAGCTTTATATGTATGTTAAAGTCACAGGTTTGAATCCTACGACCATTTGTTATATTTTATTTGTTGTAACAACAGAACTGATTTAGATGAATACTATTTGATTTTTAAAAATATAAATCATTAAAATTTGAGATAAAATAAAAAAAAAATTCTAACATAAAAAAATGAATTTTTTTTAATAAAGCTACGATTTAGATAAAAGAATTTTTATGAAAACAATTAAAATAATTACTAATTAATAATTTAAAAATAAAAATGAGTGATAGAGAACAAAGTTATATATCCTGAGAAGATTGAGGAATAATTTCAGTCTTATGCAAAGGTCAAGTATCTAATGAGATCATATTTTTATATAAAAATGAGAATGATAAATTATACGATCATACATGAATAATAAAAATTAAATTCGTTTTTTTTGGTGAAAAAAATTATTTTAATATTATATACATAATCCCTTATAAAAGTGAGTAACATTTTAAATTTTTCGCATAACTTCCATCTTTGAATTTTCAAGATTAATTTTACAGCTGATATACCTGATTTTAAGAAAAATATTTTTTAGAGTGGACAGACAGTTGATTACACTCATAATAATATGTTTATAATACTTGAAACATGAATTTTTTATCATCTAATTAAAATGATCATTTAAATCTTTCATGGAAGAAAATGATTTTCTTCATCTTTTAAAGACTAACATAATTTAAATCTTTCTAGGGCAAAAATAGTATTTCACTCATTTTATCTTCTTACCACGTGTATCTAGGTACACAATTAAAAAAACACACACACACACTTTTATAAACATTCAGTTAATAAAGATCAAAGCAGACTCAAGTTTCGGGCAACTAAAGTTAGGCCTATGCACCATTTTTATCGGGGTCTAAAAAATTTAATGATATATGTATACACAAATTTTGCAAATTAAGATTTGTTAAAATCGATATTGAGCTAAGAATTTTTCTATAAAAAAACATATTATTAATTTTAAAATGATTAAAATTTTAAAGTTTTTTTTTGTGTGAATCTTTGGAGGGAAGATGAAGGAAGAAAAAATATATTAATTTATAAGTTAAGAAAATTATATTTTATTTATAAACATGAACAAAAGCTTAGGATATTAAATTTATATTGATATTTTATTTTTTATTTAAAAATATAAAATTAAAATTACTCTAAAAAAAAGTAAATATTTATCCTATCTTTTTTACTTCAAAATTCTACTTTAAACATATTGTATAATGGTATTCTTAATTGACCATTACAACAATGTGATGTTAAAAATACATTTTTGCATGTAATATCTTTGAAGAAATATATACGAGCATGCCACTTAGTTACAACTTATCTAGTGATATTAGTTTGGTGTGCAAGTTAAAAAAGGTATTGTACAGGCTTAAACAATCTCTAAAAATACAGTTCATATTTTGATTGACTATGAAAAATTATGGTTATACTCAAAGTAATGCATATCATATTTTATTTTTAAAATAACAAAATGGTAAGATAACTATTCTTATCATGTACAAGGATGACATGATTATTATTGGAAATGATATTGATGAAATGATTAAGTTGAAGACTTACTTGACATCTGAATTTGACATGAAGGATCTTGGAGGTTTAAAATATTTTTTAGGCATTGAAGCTACAAGGTCAAAACAAAGTATATGCATGTTACAATGAAAATATGTAAAATATGTTCATGACCTTTTGAAGGAAACTGGTATGCTTGGTAGCCAACCTATTCATACACCAATAAAGCAATATCGATATCATGGCCTAGAGATTAAATTTTTATACTCAAAAAATTTATGCTGATAAAAATAAAAACATGTAGCAAGTTACAAAAAGTATATATTATTATATATAATTTATTTAAAATTATATTATTTATATTATTTACTATATGGTTCTACTATATATATATATATATATATATTGTATATTAAATTTTTATTTTAGTTTCAAATAAAATATAATTCATATTTAAGCAATTTTTTTATTATAAAAAAAAGAATTGAACATAATATATTAATATAATAATTAAATAATTAAATATTAATAATAATAAAATTAAGAATATAAAAATTATATTATTATAATATTATTATTTCATTTTTAATATTTATTTTGTTTAGTTTTGATTGCGTCTTGTTCCTATTCAGAGACTTAGCCACTCTTTAACTTGTTTAAATGTAAAAAATATGATAATTTGTTATTAAATAAATTTATTATTTAAAAAGTGTAATCATGTATAAATATTTTTAAATTTTGAATAGAATATAATTTTCATTTATTATAATTATAAATAAAAAAGAATTATAATATAATATATTAATTTAATAATAATAGAATTAAGAATATAAAAAATATATTATTAAATAAATTTATTATTTAAACATATTTTGACAGCTCTATTTTTGAAATATATATATATATATAGGCTAGCCTGTGAGACTTAACAAACTTTTTAAATAGATCAAACCTAACTTATTTACTTAAACAAGTCTTAAAAAAAGTTTGAGCGTCGTTTGTTTATTAAAGAGGTCAGGTCAGGTCAAACCAGACCAAGTCATAGGTCTCTGTCAAGTGGTCTAGCCTATTTCTACTCTTAAGAATCAACAACTAAGTATTTATCTTTATTGGAGGTAATCTAGTTACTTAGAAAAGGAAAAAAAAAAACAATAAATTATTTCATTATTAAGCGTAGAAGTTCAATATAGATCTATGATCAAAGGAATACAAGAGTTATTATGGCTGAAAAGACTTATAGAGGAGCTCGATTTTTTTTTTTACTGAAGTGACAACAAAGTTATATTGCTATCAATATTGCAAAGAATCCAATATAATATGATCAAACTAAACGTGTTGAGATTGACTGCAACTTCATATATGAGAAGTTTGAAAACAAAATTGTTAAAATACCTTATGTAAAGATCATAGAACAGCAAGCTGATATTTTGATCAAGGTGGTTGCCAGCAGGCTCACATGAGAGATATATGCTCCACTTTGAGAAGTATTAACATGAATCATGCATATAATTATGGTGTAATTATAGTAGTTATCATATCTATAATTATAGTAATTAGCATATCTGTAATTACGAGATTCATAATTGTTTTGAGAAATTACAATTATGCTTAAATTAAAAAAAATTGTTATCATATATATATATATATATGGCCTCCATTCAGAGAAGAATAATAACTCTGTTTTTACCCTATTTTGAGTAAATTTTTAAATAATTATATAATTAAGTTATCAAATATTTTTTTTAAAAAATAAGATAAAGTTAGGAATAATTTATTTTTTATCAATTAAAAAGTTTTAGATTTCTAGAGTTGGATATACAAATTTAATTGTTTTTTATATTAAAAATATTAAATAATTATATATGTATATATATATATATATATATATATATTACATCATTATTTAAAAATTCTTAATATAATTTTTGTCAAGAGCTTAAAATGACTTAAAACTAACTATGAAATATTTTTAATTAACTAAGATTAAGGAAGAAAGTGGTCAAATTTCTTGTCGTCTGTGCTATTTAAAGACAAACTAAATCTAACTTATTTAGTAAAATATTAAATTTAAAACTTTTTAAAAGCTTAATTAATTTAAGATAACATTATATTTTTCATTTTTTTAGTTTTTAAAATTTTAAAAAATTTAATTTGATTTTCAAAAGTATGCATGTGTGATCTATTCTTTCTTCAAGTATTGATTTAGACATCAATGACAAATCAAATTTAGGGTAAAATTTCTCGTAGTGTGGATGAAGGGAATACTTTGAGTCCTAGAGCTGCTAAAATGGACCAAAACCTTGAGCCTTATCATATTAGTTTTTTATATAATCTTTTTTTTTTTAAAGCCCTATAATTAGTGGATTTACATTATCATATTATATTTTTTTTATAATATTTATTAAATTATTTTATTTAAATAAATTAAAAATTATATTTAAAATATAACAAAATAGTTTTAAAAATAAAAAATATTTATTCACTATATTAAAATTTTATCAGAAAAATAACATCAAATATAATTATATTATAAAATTAAATTAAATTTAGCTTTTACATTTATTTAGTATTATAAAATAATTTATGATTTTAATTAAAAATAAGTATTAAATATTTTTAACTAAACAATAATTAAATAATAAAATATTTTATAAAACACTAATTAATAATTATTTTAATAAATTTAATTAGTTCTAGTATATTTAAATATTTTTAATGACTTTTAATAATTATAAATTCATTATAGCTTAAGTTTATACATAATATGATTATTTTTAATATAAATATAAATATGTAGAATCTTAAATGATTAATTTAATAATTATAGAATCTTAAATGATTAATTTTAATAAATTTTATATAAATATATAGGTATAGATAAATTTTTATTATTAAAAAATTATATTTATTAATATACACTTAAAATTTAATAATTAGTAAGTATTTACATAAATCAACATATAAATAAAAAATTAAATTATTAATTAATTTATCAATTTATATGTAATATATAAGTATTTATTTTAATTTATCGTATATATACTATTTTTTATATTACATTAATGGTATGGTATAGTTAATTTTATATATATTTATGTTTAAAATAATAAATTAATATATAAAATAAAATTAAATATTATACATATATTGCATTATTTTAAAATTTTATATTAATTTTTATCACAAACTTTTTATTAAGATAAAAATTTAGAAATATAAGTTATTTTAATTTAAATAAAAATTTTATTAAATAAGATAAGTTAAAATTTAAATTTGTAAATATTTATTAATCCTTACCATGTTTACATGTTATTTTTCTATATCTATAAATTTATAATATAAAATATTCTATGTCTACAATTTTTACAGTGAAAAAGTTTATTTACTTTTTTTTAACATATTAACTTTTATTTATTAAATTTAATAAATTTTATCAGTGTTATTTTTTTATTAATTTTATATGTTTAATGTGACTTTATTTATTGAATATAAGATATTTTTACATTAATAAAATATGATCCTTAGAACTAATATATATATATATATATATATATATATATAATATTTTAATAATTTTATGAAAATAAATAAATAAAAATAAAAATATAAAAAAATTTATAGTTAATACTCAAATAATATTTTAAAATTTATTTATAAATTTATATAAAATTATATAAAAATTATTAAAATTATATAATAATCATTATTTTTATTTAATAACAATAATCATTATAAATATTTAATATTATATAAATTTTATTTTTCTCTTTTTTAAGTAATTTTATTGGATTACAAGTTTATTATAAAAAATATTATGTGAAATAAATATTTTTATTAAATATTTTAATAATTATCACAATTTATATTGAATTTTCTCAAATCTAATTTTTTTAACAACATATAAATTTTTTTCTCACAAAACTCTAACTTAACCTTGGTCCTGTGAATTTTTAGTCTTATGAACTTATAAATTAATAAATTAATGAACTTTTTGGTCTTTAACTCACGTGAGTAAGGTCTAGAGCTAGGTCAAATGAGTTTCTTAAGAGTTCTAACTTTGACTAACACCTATCAAATTTTAACAAGTGAGATTTATTTTAGCAGCATGAAAGTGAGCCAATGGGAGGGTATAATTGAGGGAGAGACTTTGTAGAAAGGGGAGAAGACGATTCACATTAAATACAAAAGCATGAAGGTAGTAAAAAGTGGGATGGAGGTTGCAAACAGTGTTAAGGTAAGAGAGGTTGAGGTGGTCGTGGAGGAAAGGAGGTGATGTTGATGGTTTCAACGGTGTGACAATGTTTTAGGTTTCCTTTAAGCACCAACATTTAGTTTTATAGCACAAGAAAAAAAGACAAAACTAAGAAAAAAGAGGAAAGAAAATAAAAGAGAATAAATAAGAAGATAGCTAAAAGAGGAAGAGTGGTAGAGAGTTAACAATAATTTTTAATAAACAAATAAAAATTTAGCTTAATTATTTTTTTAGTTTTTAAAGTTTTACATATATGTAAGTTTAGTCTCTAACTTTTTAAAATTAATTAAATTATTTTATTTTTAAAATTATATAAATTGAATTTCTTTATATATTTTTTCTATTTAAAATACTCAATTTCTCTTTTTTTTAACTCAAATTCTTAATGAATTAAATAAGTTAAATAATTTTTAAAATACATTAATCAAAACGTCACATTTCACTTAAAATATAAAAACATTCATATTTTTAAAATTCTAATATCATATTTTTATAAATTTATTTAAATTTTATTAAATTTTCATAAATTTTTTGTTTTAAATATTTTAAATTATTTCATACAATAAATGTATCATAAAATTCTCAAATACAAAGTTTAGGGTTTAGGGTTTAAAAAATACAAAACTACATTTATGTAGTTTCAAAAATAATTAACAAAATATTAAAAGAACTAAAATTACTCGCAAATCTAACTAAAACAACTAAAAAATAAAATTAACTTAAAAATAAGGTTTAAATGAAATTTTATATCCTATACAAAACTCTTTTTGTAACTTAACCTATGCAGGTAAAAAATTTATATATTAATTTCTTTATAAAAATTTATTTTAAATTTCATCTTACCATATATTATGTTGCAACAACGTTAATCTCTCTCTTATTTGAGAAACAATTGTCCAACATAACTTGTTATCTATAAAATTTAAATTTTTATTTTAATTCTTATACAATACCTCCTTATAATTTTGTCTCTACAAATAATTGTCAAAAGATTATTTTAAATAAACTTCTTTCAAAGATAATAAAAAATATAAAAATTGTTATTATTAACAATAGAAACTAAATTATAAATGATTTGTTTATAAAAATTAATATACATTTTTTTATTTATAAAAATTAAATTATAAAAAATAGTATTGTATAAAGATTAAAAATAACTAAAATTTAAAAATTTGTAGATAACTAATTAAGTTGAATAACTACTTTTCAAGTAGGAAAAAAAAAAAAAGCTAACATTAAAATATGCTACAAAAATTAAAAAAATATTTTATAAAAAAATTATATATAATTTTCACTTCTAATAATTAAATTTTTTAAAAAAAATCCAATACAAGAAATAAATATATAATTCAACCTAAAATAAATATATACGATGTGAGAAGTTGTATATCTAACCTGGAGTTATCTGCGGGACAAAAGATGACGTTGAAACCTGCATTTGTTGATGATGAACATGTAAAATTGTCGGATCTATCATCAAACCAGTAGGTCAGAGCTTCTGGGCATGCCCTCTTGAAGATAAGAGAGTAATTAGTAGCATTGCAAGTGTTCTTTGTGGAAGAATCGCCACTGCAGCAATACTGCGCCGACTTGAACGCGCCGCACGCGCTTTGGCACCCAACCACTACTCCCTTATCAGTAACAACCTTTAGTTCCGGGGGACACGTGGCATTCAAATCTGCAGTGGAAATGCAACTCATGCTTCTGCAGTTACCGTTCCAACCCGCAAACGGAACCACTTGCATTGGAACGTTGTAGCCGTGTGTCAAGTCGATACCAAAGAAATCAACGCCGTCTGCGCTTAAATTGAACATTGCCGCCGTGGCAGGAAGCTTGGGTGGGTTGCCGCCGCAGGACACCTGGCCGGAGTTGCAATCGCCGGTTGCGCAGGAGTAATTTCCGGTGGCGGAGTCGGTGGTGCAGAGTGTGCGGCACCAGAAACGGCCGTTCCATGTGTCTGGTGCCGTTACGGTGGAAGACTCGCCCGCTTTTAAAGTGAAGCCGGTGGTTGAAAGACCGGCGCTTCCCCTGAACGCATATGAAGCTGGCCACACTGTGTAGTTGCATTGGTTAACCAGAGTGATGGATTTATTTGAAACCACACCTGCAAATTAAGAACAATGATTTTTAAATTTTTAACCGATAAAAATTTTAAATTTTAATTTTAACACATTATAAACTATTTAATTCTTAAGTGATAATTTATAATAAGATAGCAATATAAAGATATCTTTAGTCTTACCTTCAATTCTTAGGTAATCATAATATAATTTTATAAAATAAATTGACATTTAATTATTCGTAAATATAATTACTTTTTGTTTAAAATTTTCACTTAATAATAAATTATATGTTTACATTAAACATATAATATTTTACTTTAAGATCATTTTTAAATAAAATTAATTTTACAAAATTAAATTTATTCTAACTTAAATATAGAAATATTTATTCAAAATACTAAAAAAATTGTACTCGAGATTTTTATTCTAATTTGTTTATATTTTAAGGCATTTGTGAACGAGACTTAGATTAAAAATAAGAAAAAAATAGTTGTACCAAAAAATATTAAATTGGTTAAAATCTTTAAATATTATTGAGAAAATATGATATGATTATGTTAGAAAAAAATATAAGATTTTTTAAAAATCAAACTAATCATTACCTGATACGGATATATGAAGTAGCGATAACAAAAATGGAAAGAACAATGTTGGGCGAACCATGTGGAAGCTTATGAATATTGAAGAGAATGGAAATGAAGGAGAAGAATATAAAGCTGAAAAGTGCCCAGTTTAGCGAATTTAAGGGGATGCCAGCAGATAGATTTTAGTTAGAATGTTGACTTTTCTATGCCAGATTATCGTAGGAGTTCTAGAATCTTGTATATTTTCAATTTTTTATAATTTAAATTTTATATAAACTAAGAAATCTTAAAACGCTTATAACTTAATAAAATATATTTAAACGAATTTATTATAAATTTAAATTTTTAAATAAATTAAATATTATAAGATTTATAATATATTTTTATAAATTAAACTCTTCTAACTAATGCCCACTTAAATTTAAAAGATTAGCATATATTATTGTCTAATTTAATCTCAAGAACATAAAAAGTTTGATATAATTTTGTTCACGCTTTAATTAAATTCTTGCTCGGGGCAGGATTGACTTGACCAGGTCACTCCAGAGATAGATTACTAGTTCTTCTTTTACATATACTATTATTTAGAATCGTGTTCCATACGGTAAATTAGTATTTTCAATTTTAAGTTTTTATATTTATTACTATTTACCATGTTGATCTTAATCAATAATAAGTTAATTATACCTTATATCTCTTCAATTGTATGGAAAAAGTTAAGAAAAGTATATTATGTTTCATTTCATTCTATCTTATTTTAAATAATTAAAATAATAACAATTGTCACGCATTTAATTTAATTTCATTTTTTGGTTAATTTTGTCTTATAAAATTTTGGAAGACAAGTCATTTTCCTAATTCTTTGGATTTTTATTCTTTATTTGTATGCTTATATATAATAAAATATAATAAATAATTCTAACGTTTATTTATGAATAACCTGTGTAAGCACAAATATAATATATATTTTTGATACTTAGTAAAACAACTTTAAAGGAATTAAGTTAAACTATTTTCTTAAAAAATAATTTTAAATTTTAAATACCTTCTTATTGATGACTTGTCACATGTTAAACTATAATAAAGCCACTTAATTTATCTGTTAATTTTGTCAAATATACTCTTCTAAGCGTGTATGTTCATGATTTTTTCGAAAAATTAAATTTATGTCCTTATTTAAGATAGTGGTTAGATAATCTTTTTAGGTGAAATGCAACATTTGTCTTCTTTTAAGATTAAAGCTTAACCCCAGAAAAAGTTAAGAAATAAAAAATACTATCCACTAAACATATATATTTGGCAAAGTTTTTCATTGGCCAACAGAGATAGTCGACTCCAGCGAATCATTAATTTAAGTGATGTATTTTTAATTTCTCTTAAGTAGAAATTTTGGTTTAAATCTTATTTTTTTTAAAAATCATAGAAAAATATAATGTTATTATATTGTATATGTTCTCATTTTTTTTTAAAAAAAAAAACAGGAAGTGGACCACAAACAATCACTCATATATATATATATATTATTAAATTTATAATATTATTAAGAAAATAAGATTAGAGAGAGAAAATGGTTTTCCTTTGGTAATTAGAGAGAAAAAGGTTTGAAATGACAACATTTTGTAGACAAAGTTAAACGGTGGTCCCAAAAAATGACACAACTATATATGGCTTACAATTTGGAAACAGTCTCTTACATAGAGAGAATTGAAAATGACAATGAAAAGGAAAGTTGATATATAAATTGATAATTTCACAAAAGAATGTTTGCAAATTGTAAGCCAAGTAAGAGGAATGACTATTAAAATTCGGGTCAGATAGAAATAAAAATAAATCCCTCTGATGTATACGCTTCCATATATGATATCAAACCAAAATATCTCTTACTCAATACTCAAATTGATAATGGTTTATAACTGAGGGTATTTTTTGTTGACAATATATTTAATCGAGAAAGTAAAATTAGAGACCAAAAAACTTCAATTACATTTTGTTAATCATAAAATATAATTCCATTTGAATAATTAAAAATTAATATTGCATATAATTTGTTTTATCTCTTATATTTTACTTTTTACATATACATATTTTAAAAATATATTCAAAGTACCTAAAGTTATGAAAGACTTTGAAACTTGAAAAGCCTGTCACCAATATAAAACCAGTAACACCGTGTTAAAGGACAAGAACGTGACCTCTATTGAGTTGAAATTTCAAGATCCAGAGCAATTTCACCCCCGAAAACTCCGCAGAAAATTTCATACGTAGGAAAAAAGAGTTATTGGCAATAATCTCTCTCTCTCTCTTTCTCTCTCTATATATATAAAATATGCTTTAAATAATTTTTAAATCTCTGTACTAAACAAGTATGTGTATTGATTTGGTCCATGCAATTAATGAGTGTTACGTGTCAAGCAAAATTTTAACGTGACTCAAGGTCCTTATTCAACTTTTCTCTCCTCTTGTTTCTTCTGTTTTGTCTCAACACCAAAAAAATGGTGTTTCAAGTCACGATATCTAAAGAATAATTGCATATCTTGATGTCATAAAAAACTTTAAAAAGGGTATTAAAGGCACAAATATTCGGCATGCATTTTGCTGCTCTTTGTTTATTCAAAAACTTTAATGAAAATTCATCTCTTTCGACCTTCTAAAATTCCAACAAAAGGGCAGTGCACATAAACACATCGGGTTAAATTTCTCTCTCTACAATTTGGATTTCAAGTTCCAAAGCTTATTACAATAAATCATCTTTAACATAAGTTGATATTAATAAATTGTAAGTTACATTGGTTGAAAAAAAAGAAATCCATTGATTTCTATCTCTTTAGCCTCCAACAAATTATCTCTAGCATATGCTGATACAAAGACATGCTCGTTTTGTCATAAGCATTCAAAATGACATTGTAAGTAATGAGAGTTGGATGTGAAGCCATGTTGTTGCATCTTGTTTGAGGGGGTGACTGTGTCCTTGTACTTACCATTTCTAGCATAATCATTTATCAAGAAAGTGAAGGCATAAACTCGATCTCCTTTTGAGGGTTGAGGAATAAGGAGGCTGTAAACAAGACTCGACCTGCTTTGCCCAAAATTTTGATCTATGATTACAGTGATTGCAGAATTTCTCAAAAAGTGAATGCAATCCTTTTTGCTTTGAACTCAATGAAACACAATTAAGGTAAGGTTACGCAAATATCATGGAGATGAATGGAGTTGTAATAAGAATAAGCAAAGGGATGGAGAATTAATTTGTTAACCTTGAAGGAAAAAAAAAAGTAAGAAAAAATTATGAAATTTGCTACTACGTTAAAATTCTATTTCACACCTAAGAGTGTGATTGACGATGTTATAATACTTAATAATTGTAAAAATTAAAATTAAAATATTTTTTATATAAGAATAGATTTATAAACTTTTTCATGTCGGAACTACGATAAAAATATATAGAAACTTAAAAAATAATTTAATATTAAATTTTTTATTACATCAAAAAAGTTTATAAAATGACATTAAAATGTCCTTTAATTAAGTTACAAATTAAAATAAAATTATATTTACATCCTTCAATGTCTGAAGAATTAATATCATAAATATATATTTATAATAATAAATTAATGTTGGATATAATAAATCTTTGAAGGGTTAAAAAGTAATAAAGTTTTAAAATCTAATTTGTGCATATAATTTTTTTAATATCATGATAATCACTTATTATGTATAACAAACCGTTAACATCAGTTTTATATGCTCTCACAAACTATTAATAATACATGCTCTAAATTTGTATTAATTTTAGTAAAATAAAATAAAATAAAATATCTTTTAAAATAATTTTAGTCTCATAAAAAATTAAAAGAGTTTGAATGTAAATACAATTTATTTCAATAATAAATTTAAAATTTTAATTAAATAAAATATTTATTGATAATATTTGGTCTCCCATTCACTAATTACTAATTTCAAAATAAATAAGTTTTTTATAAACTTCATATATATAGACACAAATATCACTACTAGAAAACTTGTAAATATAGACAAATTTTAGTATTATAGACAAATTTATAGACAGTTTTAGTCTGTCTGTAATATGCGCATCGGTAAATAATTACATATAAATTTTTGAATTTGTCTATAAGTTACAAATGGAAAAATCTATTTGTAAATTACAGATAAAAAAATCTATCTATAATTACAGACAAAAAATCTGTCTGTAAATTAAAGCTGAAAAAATTCGTCTATAATCCATTTGTGAAATTTCAATTTTTTTTATTTTTTTATATACATAATTATTCTTCGTTATTCCTAATTATCACAAATTATAAACATAATAAAAACTACAAAATTATATATTTAAAATTAGAAATTATTTATAAAATATAAAATTAAAATGTCATTACAAATGAAGAAGTAATCATCTCAATAAATAATGTCAAAAAGAAAATAACATTGTATATCACTAATAATTAATGTGATCATCTTCTGAAAAAGTATCACCATCAGTAGAGGAGGAGTCGGAGGATGAATGACGCATAGAGCTAAAGATTGGTGGAGGAGGAGGAAAAGGTGTGGAGTTACTTGCTCTCATAAGCTCAAAGTATGCACGCATCTGTTGTATCTGCATATGTTGTTGCTTCATCTGCTATTGTACCTCCCTTTGCATCCTTGAGCCTACCTTTTTCTCCATTTTCTTCGGCCACTTCTTCCATACACTTTCCTTGGTCTTCCACATCTTCTCATTTTGCTTTTGCAGTTCTTCATTGAGGGCATGGATTGTGCGGACCATGTCTTCTACTTTCTCAGGTGCAAGAAAAGGGACATCTACTGTGATAGATGCATGGAACATGGAGTCTGCAAAGTAGCTCCCCATGCTGTAAATGCGGGCTTTATAGAGACCACCCACCGTCTCTGACCATATAGTATCCTCATCAACTGACTCTAGATCTTGAGAAGATGCCATTGAATATAGTCATCCTACAGTTCAATGCAGATATATCAGTCTCGAGAACTATTTAATAAATCATTAATAATAAAATGTAGTGTCAATAAAGATGACTTACATATGGGACAATAGTGGATCCCTCACCTGTGCCTTGTGTAGTAGGAGGTTGTGTAGTATGTGTAATCGGTGGTGTAGACTGTGAAACTCGTTGGACTGGAGGGGAGAAGCAACATATCTAAGTTAGGCACCATGATAAACTACTCCTACCCCCTAACCTAGGAGGTCTACACAGTAGCTAGTGTGGAGGTGAAAGTGAGAATGGTGGGTGAAAGAATGTTGTCATGATCAAAATGCTGAGCAACACATTTTTTACCTTTACTTGTCACATTTGAATCAAATATAATATATGTTTAGAGACCAAATATACAAATACATAATGTTGTATTAACCTTTTATTTTATATTACACAAATTTCTAATGTAAATTTTGGCAAAATCTTCTTTAATATATGAATATTTTCTTATATTTATTTATAGTTAATACAACAAATTTCTAATATAAATTTTGGTAGAATCTCCTCTAATATATGAATATTTCCTTATATTTATTTACACTTAATAAAATAAATTTCTAATATAAATTTCGGCATAATCTTTCCTAATTTATATTTGTTTACACTTAATATAACAAATTTCTAATGTAAATTTTGGTATAATCTCTCCTAATATATGAATATTTTCTTTTATTTATTTACACTTAATGCAACAAATTTCTAATATAAATTTTGGTAGAATCTCTTCTAATATATAAATATTTTCTTATATTTGTTTATACTTAATACAACAAATTTCTAATATAGATTTTGGCAGAATCTCCCCTAATATATAAATATTTTCTTATATTTATTTAAATTTAATACAACAAATTTCTAATGTAAATTTTGGTAAAATCTTCTCTAATATATGAATATTTCCTTATATTTATTTACACTTAATACAACAAATTTCTAATGTAAATTTCGGCAGAATCTCCCTTAATATATGAATATTTGCTTATATTTGTTTACACTTGATACAACAAATTTTTAATATAAATTTTGACAGAATCTCCCTTAATATATGCATATTTCCTTGTCTTGTTCTTTACACGTACTTAATACAAAAATTTAAATTTTCTTTATGTATAAGGTATATATTATATAATAATCTATTATTAATCAATGCATAAAAAATATACATATCACAATCCTAAATCGTTCTAGAGTACATTCCCTTATAACTCCACGACATGCATATTTTACAATCTTAGCAAGCACAAACAACCACACGACACACAGTAATCAGATTCAAAGAAGGACCTCTACGCCCATCCCCAGTCATACAATCTTCGGTCCTACAATTCTCTATCTTAGAAATTTTAAGTCTCCATTATACATCAAAAATTGAAAAACTAAACCGATTAAAAGTTAGAGTATCATACTAGGAATACAATGATGCAAATTATTTTTCAAATGAATGCTCCGGCCACTTGCAAAGATCAAAAAACTGATAATGCTAGAGAGAGACAAAGACAGGAAAATGAGAGAAAGAAGAAATAACGGAAAGTGAGAAGAAGAAGTAGTAGGCACGGTTTTGATAGGTTTCATACATTACAGACAAAAAAATCTACCTGTAAATAATTTAATGAAACAGTGTGTTTTAACAGCCTGCCATTTGGCGCGAAAACTTATAGACAGAAAAAAATTAGCATGATTTTTGGAGCAGGAGCTACATACAAAAAAAATTCATCTATAAATATGACTATTTTTACCAACTTTTCATTTGTTTATTTAAGACAAATAATACAGACACATTTTTTTCGTTTGTATTACAGATAGATTTCTCCAAAAAATAAAAATAAATAAAAAAATTGAATATTCATCTATAAATCCGTCTGTATTATTCATCTATATTAAGCGTGTTTCTGGTAGTTTTGATTAATAGAATAGTTAGATATAATCAATAGGATTTATTAAACTTAAGTATATATTTACTTATAAAAGGATTATCCAAATAATTATTGATAATGCTTTTATAAATGAATAATTCACTTATTGATCATAATCAAGTCACTCCAAATAAATCAATATAATCTTTGTTTTTACAATTCATTTGATTCATTTACATTGTTAAATAATATTATATTAGGAAAAAATTTTAAATTTTGATGGTTAGACAAATTTAAATATGTTCCAATACAATTATTACCTCAAATAACTTATAACACTCAAACATTACTACTTTCTAGTTGTTTCATTAATATTTTTAATACTCCATTTAATAAAATAATTTTCCCTCTGTTAAAGTAAATTTAAAATTAATCTCATATAATACTATGAGCACACCAAATTAAAGTGTACTTATGGTTTAACTAACGATTGAGGAGAATATATGGAGTTCGCTTTTACATTAGCAATACTTCTAGGCTAGCATTTACTTAAGAATTATTGGAATTGTAACTTTGCATTTCAAAACTCTGATACCATTGCTTGCATGCCACTGTTGTCAAATATCATATAATTTATTATATTATATTGTATAAATATAATGTAATCAGCCTCTCAATGTTATAATAGTATTCGATTTCTAAGTGACATTAAAAATATTTTACAGATCAAGTAAATGTTCGTATACACTATGAAAAAGAAAATGAAAGGTACTACTAAAAATGAGAAATACTTGCAACCGAAACTATTTTCAATTTCAACTAACAGAACTGTGAAGGTAGGGATTTGGAGGCATTGAAACTTCAATAATTCCTTCTAGCATCAACAAAACCCTCTTCATTGTCGGCCTAAGAGAAGGATCTTCTTGAATGCACCAAATAGCAATCATGACAAGTTTTTCGAAGCTTTTCATTGCATTGATAGCTTCAAAATCATTTTCTAGAAGGATGTCTAGTCTTTTAGTCTTATAGCAATCATAGACCCAATCAGTTAATATCCCTTTATCTTCATCAACAAACTCCTTTTCTACATTCCTCCTACAGCAAATAATCTCTAGTAACATCACACCAAAACTGTAAGTGTCAACTTTAGCAGTGATTGGTGCACTTCTAAACCAATCCGGTGCAACATACCCTTTGGTGCCTCTAATTCTAGTTTCAGTGTGGCTCTGATTAATCAATAATAACTTTGCTAACCCAAAATCCGAAATTCTGGCATTATATTGATCATCAAGAAGTATATTTTGTGGCTTTATGTCACAATGGATGATTTGGGTGGAACATTCCTCATGCAAGTAAACAAGACCTCTTGCAATCCCAAGGGCAATGTGGAACCGTTGATTCCAGTTTGGTTTCAAAGGGGTGAAAAGGAAGTTTGCCAAAGTTCCATTACTCATAAATTCATATACCAGAATCCGATGTTGTCCTTCATTGCAATATCCAAGTAAACGAACTAGGTTCCTATGATGAGTTTGGCCTATCACATTCACTTCGGTTTGAAATTCATTGTCATTATCTTGAGACAACTTGTCTAATTTTTTAATAGCCACACTAGTCGTCTCTGTTGTTCCTTTGTACACAATGCTAAAAGATCCCCTTCCCAATTCTTCTCTAAAATTTCCTGTTGCTTCTACAAGTTCCTTGAAGGTAAAATTGCGCAAATTTTTGTCAACAAAACTTCCACCAGTTCTACTACGGATTTTCTTGCGATTGCAAGAGAATCCAAAACATATTGTACCAACCAACATTAAGATGACCAACACAGAGCTGCCCAAAAGAACTGATATTACAATGATCAAGGCCTCATGATCATTCTTCTCATTTGGATTTGGTAAAGAAGTGAGAGAATCATCATTTTTCATCAATTTCATGACAGAAGTTCCATTTTGTCTCTGATCTCTTCTCCCATTTGTAAGTGGCAGCTTCTTCTTCAAACAAGTACTTCCATTGAAAGCAACTAACACACATAAGCAATCTCGCAAACAAGAATTTGTGCATTCTTGTAGACTACAAGGACTTAGTCTTTCATAATCAGATTTAGGCCAATCAATGTTAGACAATTCCTTCATTATGTATAGATCATCATGTGAACCCCGATGCCCACCTGCTTGACAAATAACTTGGAAATTTGGAATACATCCACCATACATGTTATTTGAATCTGTAAGAGAATATCCCTCTGGGCAGTTACATTTTGGCCTTTGGTTATCATTGAGGGTGCATATGCTATTAAACCCACAAACACCTTCACCACTGGTGAACGTTGAATTCAAACAAATATTTTCTGGTATAGTGTCTGCAGTGATCCATCCTTGTCCATCTTTTGGATCTTTGGGGTGATATGATATGGTAAAAACTCCATCGTAATTGATAGTTGCTCTATAATAGAAGTCATCAGTAGAGACCCTCTCATTTGGCTCGGTGATATTAAATTTCTCCCCACTTTTTTTCTCTACGTATAATAAACCAGATTTGTCAAATATCAATTTCATGCCAGCATCTGTTTGGTTCTCAGCGTCAGCAGTGCCAATAACATAGTAAGGCTCGTAACTATACCTGGTGGCCAAATTTATAAGGTTGAGCACTGCATTGCCATCCTCTTGTAGATGAAGTTTGAACCTTCCACCTGAGAAGTTGAACTCTCCTTGTCGAGAAGAAAGATAGCCATTTAACTCCATTACTTGAGTAGGCACCAATGTGTCAGTTGGATGATCGAAACTCTCCCATACTGAGGCAAAATTTTGGTCTAACAATTGAAAATTTCCATTATCGTTCATTACAGCAGAATAAACTGTGCCTGATGTAAAATTTGATCTCCATAGCTCTAAACCTTGAGGGTTGCTAAGCACTAGCCCATGTGAGTCATTTAGTTCTAATCTTGATCCTTTAGGAGTAGGTTTGTCCCCATTTGCATACCATATGATGGTCTTATTTGGTATCTTGTCATACCATATAGCCAATTGAAAAAGCTCACTTGGAAGTCGGTAGAACCCAAACGCAAAATCCCCTGACGGAGAAAGCCACCGAGATGTCTCATTGCCGGCAGTGAGTGAGTCACCAACACTTCGACTACGTTATATTTTAGACATTAAATAGTAATTAGTAAACTTTGAGAAAGAAAAAAGTATTCCTCCAACATTACCAAAATAATAAAACTAAATATCCACCAGTGTGTTGCGTAGGCATTTAATTTTTTCAAAAACACACTCTTTATTATTATTATTATTAAATAAAATTCATATAAGTACCATTAAAATATTTGAGTGTATTAATCTATTTTGTAGAATTTGCATAAATTTTATTTAATAATAGAAATATATTTTTAATTATTTGTAAAAGAAACTATTATTAACTTCTTTTTTTGGTTAAATTATAAGAAACAAATACTAATTCTCAGAAGCATTAATAGGCTTTTTTATTTAAATATTGCAAAATAAAAAACAATTTATTAAAATAGTGTATTTTTAAAACAAATTCCGTGTCTGGGGTCGGGCCGCACAATATCGCCAAAACGGCTGGCGAAACTTATTATTTTAATATTATAAAACAAGTTTCGCTAAACGAAGGACGAAAGTTGAAGGTAATTTCGCCATTCACCCAGCGAAATATGAAAAACTAGACACATTAGAGAGCGGTTCAAACTGAACCGCTCTCTTAGATGGGATTTCTGAGAGCGGTTCAGTAGTAACCGCTCTCTAATGTCACTCTAAGAGAGCGGTTCGAAAAGAACCGCTCTCAGAAGTTCTCATAAGAGAGCGGTTCAGGGAGAACCGCTCTCAGAAGTCAATATTGGAGAGCGGTTCAAAAGAACCGCTCTCAGAAGCTCTCATAAGAGAGCGGTTCAAGAATAACTGCTCTCAGAAGTTGTAATTTACGTCATTTTTCTTGCGAAAACGTTTTTAACGCAGATCTTTTGGCGAAACCTGGTATTATTTATTCCCACCCCTGCCCCCTCTCATCCGAGGCTCATTTTGCAATCGAAAAACAGGAAGGAGAAAGGAGAAACAGGAACCGCTCTAAGAGGACTTCTGAGAGCGGTTCTTGTGAAACCGCTCTCTTAAAAGCACTTCTGAAAGCGGTTCCAAAAGAACCGCTCTCTTTAATAGACTTGTGAGAGCGGTTCCAAAAGAACCGCTCTCTTTCATGGTGGAACCGCTCTCTTTGATGGACTTTTGGGAGCGGTTTCTTATGAACCGCTCTCTATTGCTCCTACGTTCTTCTACTTTCGCCCTTCGTTTGGCGAAACTTGTTTTATAATATTAAAATAATAAGTTTCGCCAGCCGTTTTGGCGATACGTGTGCTGCCCGACCCCAGACAGGGAAATTGTTTTAAAAATACACTATTTTAATAAATTATTTTTTATTTTGCAATATTTAAATAAAAAAGCCGCATTAATAACTAAATTCTTTGTATACCTTTATTTTTATAAGATTTAAGTTAACAATACATTCACCAATTACCATTTAATTGAATATATTTATTTAGTTAATGTATAAGCTACTGATTTAACTATTTATTATTATGGTTGATTTTTAAATATACTATAAAGCTATGACATGTAATTATTTTTTATTAGTCTTGATAAATTAATTTTTTTTATAAAAATGACAAAAGTGAATATGTTATCAAATTCATGTTAAAAAATGTATTGACATATTTTAAGAAAAAAAATTCTAATCAATTATTTTTCTTCTGATAATATAATAATTAGGGATGGAAATTGGTATAATCCAAATAAAATATTATATTATCTATTCAATATAACCACATTTTAAAATATTATTTGTACTCATATCAGAACTTGTAAATTTGATCATAATCTCCGATGGATATCTAAATCTTCATATTCATTTTCAGTATTCATTTAATTGCAGTTTAGTTAACTAAAATACAATATTTATACCTCCTTACAAATTAATATAAAAAATATTGATTTAAAATATTAGATATAGTATGGAATTTTAATAAATATAAAAACATAAATACAATATAAACTTCTGACATTATGGTATTAAAGTCAAATATTGTAAATTACAACACTTTTATTTTAAGGTTAGGGTCAAAAAATTAAAAAGAAATACAATGTTAAGAAAAGAAATATGAATTTAATATTACATATATCATGTATTTACTCATTCATTTAAATTTGCTAAGTCAATAATTATTTTAGCTTCTGCGAGTATTTTTTTTTTTAAGTACCAATTTGATACTGTACTTGTTACCATTCCTAGTAATTATTTTCTAATAAATTATTGTTAAGTTTTAAATTTGAATGATGAACTTATCATAAACTCTTATATTTAATAAAAAGAAATTTAATAAATATTTAATTAAACTAATTGTAAACGAGTGTCCATAGTATGAAAATATATACTTGAAAATTTGAAAAGTAGAACCAAGATTTGGTTCAATTAGAAAATGAGTTGAGAGAAAGAAATAAAATAATTAGATAAAGTGATTAAATTACTAAAAATGAAGAAGAGAAAATTAATATTGATTTTAAATGAATGTCCAAATTAATATTGAGTTTTGAAAATAAGAGGTCAAAAAAGAAACTTTGGCTTACATTAAAAATTGGAAAGAGTGGAATTAAGAAGTAAAGAAGTACAAGAGTTATAGAGAATAATGGCAACATCATCCTATATTTAATTTAAATTTATAAATTAATTATTATATTTAAAAAATTTATTAATTAGTTGTTGTATGTATATTTATTTTAATTTAATATTTATTTATTTAACATTGTTTATGTTAAATTTATAATTAAATTAAAAAAAATATGTATAAATACTAATTTTCAAATTTATGTAGAGACTAAGAGATTGTTTGAGAGAGGATATTTAGAAGGGAAAGGAAGAAAGAATATATTTTTTTAATTTTAAATTAAAAGATTATATATTATTTATTATAATAAAATTTTTATTAATATATTAATTTATATTTTTTATTTTTTAAAAATATTAATTTTAAAAATATTTATTTAAAATATAAATTTAATGTATTTTCCTATCTTCTAAAAATCGCCTTTCCGAACAGCCTAAAGAACAAAATATCATTTAAACCTAAAATTTTAGGCAATGCAAGTGACATTGAGGTTGAACTTGGAGGAACTTAAATAATTTGAGAGTAAAACCTTCTCTCCATTTAAACGGATTTGATCAAAATTTGCATTGAAATAGAAATGGAAGTGTCAAGTATTTGGAGGTCTAACCTGGCATTGTTGGTGGAAGGACAAAAGACGATGTTATAATCTGCGGCTGAACAGTTAAACTTTGCGAGTACACGCTTGGCTCGCACGTGTTCCGACTCGAATGTTCTCCAGTGCAACAGAAAAACTCTTTAAAGAACACACCACACGCGCCCTGGCACGCCACCACGCGCCCCTTTTCAGTCACCTTCAGCTCCGCCGGACACACCGCGTTCAGATCCTCCGGGCACCCCGCGCTGCCGCAATTGCCGCCAGGAACGCCAACGGGAACTACCATCACAGGAACGTTAAACCCGTCCACCAAGCTCACGTCATAGAAATCGCGGCCCCCCACGCTGCCCGTGCTGATCTCCACCAGCGTCGCAGGCGGCGCGCCTCCCATGCCGCCGCACTCCACCTTCCCGGAGCCGCAGTCGCCGGTGGCACAGGAGAAGTTCCCAGTGGAGGAGTCGTTGGCGCAGAGAGTGCGGCCCCAGAAGCGGCCGGTCCATGTCGCCGGTGTGGCTACGGTGGAAGACTCGCCGGTTTTCAAAACGAAACCGGTTGTTGAAAGATTGACGTTTCCACTGCTGACAGCAGCTGGCCACACTGTGTAGTTGCATTGGTTCACCAGAGTGAATTTCGCCGAATTGACCCCTGCGAATCCAGCACAATTTATTTATCCTATTTTCTCGCTATTAATTTTAAAAATTGTTCTGAATCTATTACCTGGTTCTGCTAATTGCAGTGTTAACAAGAAAAGAGAAAGCAACCATCTTGGCTTAACCATGTCGAAATTGGAAACCCAGAATGTGAAGAACAAGTTATTATGACTTGTCGTGTTTTCTTCTTCTTCTTCTTCACTCTCCAATTATATGGCTGTCCAATAAGTAAATTACTTAGAAATATTTTATATTCATCTTCACCTTGGGGACCTCATTCACCTTAATACTCTCTTTTTATAGGCCCGTCACATGATATTAGATACAATTTAATATTAATAAATATCTCTTTTCAAAAAATTAATTTTATTAAATGTGCTGAAGTCATTATTGTAATTAGTTTACAAGAACTATTCCTGCAATAGAGTTATCGATCCTGTTAACATCAACTTTTAACATAAAAAAGATAACAGTTATCAAATTTATAAGCTATAAAATTTATAATCATTTTTTTAGTTGATCTTGGGCTATATGTTAAGTTTTCACTTATTTCATGTCCTTTTGTCTCTCCTGCATGCAGCTGCAAAAGAGTATTTTTAATGCTTTGTTTGCATTTGAAAATAAAATAATATATAATGATATTTTTATTTTACTGGCAGAGAAAATGAAGAAAAAATTTTAAATTTTAAAAAAAATATCTCTCTTTCAATTTTTAATTCAAAATTAAAGAGTTTTTTTATTTTTTTATATTTTATTTTCACTGTACCAATCAAATGATAAGGGTTCTTAGCTTAAGTCTACCCATGAATTATCTTTCCTTTCTCTGTTCTACACATCAATTTCCAAATATGCATTCTCTTATGAATCTCATCATTACTTATTATTTGCTTTTTTAATAAAATTGAAACTAATAATAAAAATAAATTAAAAAATATGTTTAAGATTATCCTATTAACTCTATTCTGATCTATAGTTATCTAGCTGAGTTAATAATATTTCCACAACAAATTTTTATAATAACAAGTTCATTTCTATCTTTTTCAATTATATTACTGATCATTTTATCATTTTTCCCCTTATTTCTCTAAGTTTTCTCAAAACTATAAATAAAACAATTTTTTTCATAAATATAATTTCTCAATCTAAAAATATTTATGAGATTGAGACAGCCAGATTCAGTCAACCGAAAAAAGAAGACTTTGAAAACTAAATGAAAAATTGAAAAGCATGAGTAGAAGAAGAACTGAAATAATGGCCATTGGCCAACTTTGGCTTCGAAGAAATTTGTCATGACAAGCTTCTTTGTCCCTTCGTGGGGTTGAAATTAGATATTCACGCTTTGTTTAGAAGAGGAGTTTCGTCCTTGACCACTCACTAGGTTGAGACTAGGTTGAGTAGAAATTACTTTTTTTTTTTAACTTTACCAAAATACTAAAGTGAGAAATCAACATTCTTCCATTACATAATTATTATTATTAATTGTTGGATATAAATTTCATTTGTTAAAAGCTGTACGTAAATGTAACATGAAATTCCCCCATCCATTTACTCTTGGAAATCAGAATCACATCTACTTAACATTATAAATAAAACCCACTACAAGTTAATCTTTATTTACAACAAATACTTTGAATAATTCACCAAAATAAAATAAATATGGCCTTCTTTTGTTACATGTCTAGAGTGATTGTTGTTCTACTTCTTCTCAATTTGTAACCACCATTATTCATTTACCAAGTCAAAAATCTTGACATAGTAGATAATGAAAAAAAAAATTTGCAAGCTTTGATTGAAAATTTATTTTTAAGAGAGAAATAAAATGACACAATTAAAATACAAACATTAAGGTAAAAACTTCAAAATAAAAAAGAAACTGCAATTATTATCTAGCAACAACAATAAAAAGGGGAAGAAAAAAAAAACGGATAGCTAACAACACATTTTTTTTAATATGCTTTCCACCGTTAGTTAAAATTTATTGAAAATTAAAAAAAATATGAGGAAGAAATATTAATTTAGGAGTAAGAAAGAGTAAAACTTACATGATTTTTGCAGTTTTCAATAAAATTTAACCAATAGTAAGAGTGTATTACAAAAAGTATGTTAGAAAGTATGTTGCATTATTTAAAAAAGGCAAAAAAATTTACAATAATAATTTTTTTTAACTATCCTGTGATTTTAGTACACTTACTTATAAGTCTATATTTTTATATATTTTATTACTTATATTTATACACTTAAAGCTTAGTTTGCTTTACACAAATTATATTATTAATCGTTACAGTTGAGTCTGAAACACTTATCAATGCATTATGAAAATATTTTAAACAAAAATTGAATAATTTAGTTGAAATTAGAACTTCATCCGTGAGTAAGCACAACCTTACTTCACAATCTAATCTAGACGTGCTTCAAAGCTTCAAGCACGACTATGTTAGAGGCTATGCACGACCGTGTTAATTAAATTTGAGTTTAAATTCTAAATTTAATTTTTAAATTAGAAATTTGAATATTAGATTTGATTTTAAAATTTGAATTGGTTTTTAGCTGAGATTCTAAAAGTTGGCAAAACAAATTTTCTTTCTTAAAGATCGAGCTTATCTCTTGGAGGTTAGGTCATGATCTTACCCTATATAAGAAGCCTTGTGCAGGTTAGGTCATGATCTTATCCTATATAAAAAGCCTCGTGCTCTGGAAAAGGGACCTTCAAAGATCTTGACTTAATCAAACATTGAGAGTCAAGAAGTGTTAAAAAGCATGTTGCTAACATTACTTAAAAAAGAACTTTATCCTTTCCCATATTAAGCTTATCTCTTGGAGGTTATGTCTTGATCTTACTCTATATAAGAAATCTTATGCTCTGGAAAAGGGGACCTTCATATATCCTAACTTAATCAACCAATGAGAGTTAAGAAGTGTTAAAAAATATGTTGTTAACATTACTCAGAAAAGAACTTTAACCTTTTTCATGGTGACACAATAATGTCATGATAATACACTTACAATCTTTTAGATAATATCACCCTCTCCATGAGGGAGTAATTGGTAAAACTTGACTCAAAATCCTGTGTAATTATGATTATATAAATATATCTTTGACATGTATTTTTATTTCTAATAAAATTATCTCCACCACACATCACAAAACTTGAAAATAAAAATATTACATTTATATAAATACTATGAGCTATGATATTACACTTCTTTTCTGATATAAAAGATTAGATAATAATATAACCATAGAATACACTAAGAATGCAATATCTCATTGAACTAAATACTCTGAATATTGTTGAAAGAAACTAAATATTTTTCTTAACAAATTTTTAATAAAGAAATAAAATGACACAATACAATACATAATAATTAATGTAGAAACTTTGAAACAAGAGAAAAAAATTACAATTATAATACATTCACACTTTTCAAAGAAAATATCTAAATACTTCAAAATACTTTAAGACAAGAGTATAAGTAAAAAAAAAAGATAAATACAAACTTTAAAGGTTTTTTAACTAGTGTAACTTCAACCGGTGAAAATGACTCAATCTAATTAAAATGATTGATGTATGGGTTAAATTAGATTGAGTAGTTAGGTTGAAAACTATTATAGTAACATGATATGAAAAATTCTATAATAAAATATCATTCAAGCAAATATTAAAAAAATGAAAAACAAACTTCAACTTCAAATAAATAAAAGCAAAAATTCAATAATTGAATGACCAAAACTGAACAAGTAGTAAGTAAAAAATAACTTCTAAAGCAAAAAAATTAAAATAATTAATGTATCATAATAACAAGTAATGTTGAGTATAAATCAACAACAAAATTCACAATAAAAAATAGTTTCCTTACATGAAGAACAAAACAAGGAATCACCAAAAGTAGGGATTGAAATTTTTAATAAAAGAAGAAGACCTAGGTAAATGGAGAAGCACATGGGTTAGTTAAAAAAACAAAGTCTTCAAATGATTTGAGTGAACCAATTGTCATCATGACGATGAAGGTGTTGAAATTTTGACAAGTGTACAAAGCTTTCATTTTAGTAAGTGAATAGGGGATGTCATATCTACATAAATTGACAAATAAATCACTAATTTCTACTATTCTAATTAAAATTTTCAATTAAAAGATGTATAAATATTTGAGTAGTTTATTTATGGGTGAGAAATTCAATCATTTAAGAAACAAGATAAATTCAAATATAAAATTATTATGGTTTGAGCTGAAATTAAATTTCATCATCCTTCATCTTCCATATTTTGATGAATAAACATTTAGGCACAAATCTATAAATGTAGATGCACTCACTTAATGTTTCCTTATATTGATTTCTCACATACAAAGTTCTTAAGAGTATTCAATGAATAACGATTCCTTAATTATTCAATGAATCCTTTAACATTAAAAACAAGAGTTAAAAAGTAATCAATATATTGAAAAATATACTTAGCATCACAATACACCGAGTGGGTTTTATTCAATCTAGTTTCAAAGTTTATTTTACAATTAAAACTTAAATCCTAAATCAAAAATACTATTACATAGAATAGAATCAAGCATTAAAAACAAAATAATATCACCAACATTTATAGAAAATAATAACTATATATAAATCACTAAAATATTTCAGAGTAAAAGATTTCATCCAATTCCAAAAGAGTTATAACTATCCATGATAACCATTTACAATACAAGAATGAGAGAAAAAAGATGAGATGGATTTATGCTCAATGCTCCTTTCCTTAGTTCTCCCTTCTTTGCTCTAATTTTCTGCTATTTAATCCTTATTTTTTCTTATTTTTCTTATTTTAAAAGTAGAATAAATGAATTCTTGCTCAAGTTAAAAAGGCATTCTCACTCAAGCAAAGATTCTGGCTTGAGCGAAAATAAGGCAAAAGTTCATACATGCATTTTTGCTTAAATAAGGGATTCTTAAGTTGCTAAATGAAGGTAAAGACAAATATCAATTAAGGTTATAAAAAAAAGGGTTGTAATTGGATGGCTCACCTAATATTTAGCTTGGGTTGAGTTTTTAAACCCTAAACATAGGACTCAACTCATACTTAATTAGATTTAAGTTATATAATATATATATATATATATATGTATATATATATATATA